AGCCCGCAAAGAAATGTAAACATGGGAATTAACCTCCCGCTGTTCCTCTTTACATCGCGTTCCATTATTCCTAAGCATCGGGGATAGAGTGCATCCCCGTTTCTTTCATTCGACCCCAAAAAAGGACTCACTTTGCGTGACTACCCCGGGTAGCGTCTAAGTGATCCAAGATGGCGAGCATTTCTCTAATCTAAAGGATTAATGCAGATGACCGCCATTTTGGTGGGGCTATTTGAAGTTTCACGAGCGTGTCGAGGTATATCGTCGCCCTCCCGCGAATACGACGTCTCAACCAACTCCGTAGGAGGAAAGAAACTCGACGGCAAACTACCCCCATTTGTCGTCGGGGCTCGAGGATCGGTCCGGTAATTTATTCGGGTCGCTGGACGGCCGCCATCTTGCGAGAACAAGAAACGTCGAGAGGACGCCTTCGGACAACTCGAATCCTCTCCGGTTGACAGCCTCCACGTGCACCGAGTACACAGTTCACGGCCTGCATATGCACCACAATGCACCGTTCGCCTGCAAACCCATACCCATGATTAACACGTTGAGTGCGGAACCGATTTTGATGAGCTTTCCGTTCAGGCGGCACAATTTTTTATATATAGGATTCTTGACGCCGTGTCAGTCCCCAGGGACTGACGCCGCTTAAACGGAAAGTTCACTGTCAGTCCCTAGGGACTGACGCAGCACTCAACGTGTTAAATGGCGGCGATATCTCGCTTCGGATGCAAACTGGCCCCGCGAGGAGACGGCTCTCTCCCGATGAAGTATTTCGGGGATCTTTCGTCGCAATGATTTACGCGGCGCGACAGACATAACCTAAAACGCGAAGTGGTCGGGTAGGTTACGCCGCCATTGTCGGGAGCCTCGGAGTGCATATACGTGCACGTACGTAGATATCCGAGCAATCTACCCGCCACATGCATCCAGGGGGAATCTGCCGCGTAGAATTCCTGCAATCTCTTTTCTTAGGAGCTCCGGCGAATTGCAGCGCGGCTTCGTGTTTGCGCAACGCCGCGATGCATCTGCCTTTCACGGGTGCATGTGCATCTCAGGGGGTGCAGCCAGTCGCTTTCCCTCCCAAATGCGGGAAATAAGGCACGCCGCGTGCAAAGGCGAGGAATAATGCAATATTTCCTGGCACCGCCTCGATATTTGGGGACGCGTCTGCTGGAAATTGCGGAATGTCCCGGGTGCGGACGGGGAGGCGAAAATATCAAAATTGCGGAACGGCGCATCCCGGCTCGATGGATGGCCGCCGAATTTGACGAGCTCTAAGGGACGCGCGAATGTTTCTGCGACGCCCCCGAAAAGCGAGGATGAAATGAAAAATGGCCCCGTATACGGAATAACAGGATGCACTCGGATTGGTTTGTAGTACGTTCTGTGCTACTGGCCGTGATGCTCGAAAATCGATAGGTGAGGGCACCCAACGGATTTCGGCCAATCCCGAGAATAAAGAAACGATGAATAATTGAACGAAATCACGGGCAAATCGGGAAAGCTCTTCTTCCGGCCCTGCGGTTCTGGTTCATGGTTGGAAAGTCAATTCACGAGACAGGGAAGCTTAGCCCTTACCTTTAATGCTCCCCACGAGAGGCTGCGAATTTCGGCTAGTTTTAAAAAACCAATCGATTTCTGCTCTATACTCATACATTATAATATTTATTTCAATATTAGCCGTAGCGTCGATACCATGGATCGGAATCGTTTTTCGTGCCTGTCATCCCTTGACTTTAAATTCCGGTTTTGTCGAGCAGGCAATAAGTCTCGTTTCCACCGGGACAGACGTTTCCGCCCACTCGGCTCCATAAGTATTCCAATGGCGTGACACCGGGACAGCAATTGGTTCGCTGTCGATCCTTGAATTTCTAAGATTAGTTTAGCCGACGGTATCGCGTTCTCCCGTCAGGAACGCCTTAAGGGCCTCACGATCATGCACGTCTGCCCTGACACGGCCACTTCCCCTGGCGCTCCCGATTCCTATTCCGCGCACGCCCTGACTGCGGAATAGTCCCGGATCCGGGGGAAATAACCAATCGGAAATAGGGAAAAGCGGCTGCGAAGCAATCCGAGCGAAAAGAAGAGAGGTAAGTATTAGCTCGATCGGGTGGGGACCGATTAAGCTTCGGGGATTAATGTTGTATAATTGGACCTTGTTAGGCAAAACTCCCACGACGCAAGAATCCCTTTACGAGCATTCCTGTGGGACCTCCTTCTCACGAGACGTCCAGGAATTATGTCGGGAATGGGACAATATCTACATCCGCAAGAATATTCTCCCCACGAACGTCCAGAGACGCGCGGCGATCCGTCAAGACGTCGTTTAACTCCCCTTGCGTTTTTCCGACGTTTTCCATCGACGAAACAACCGCAGGCTCATTTTTCATTCAAAGAAACTCCCCTGAAAGGGACTGTCTCCCTTCGTCGAAATTTCGACTGTAATTTCCTTCTCGGATTTGAACCGCGAAATATATCGGAATATATATAAATATATATGTATATGTATATTCGAAGCGGGGGTGCAATTTGCAACTTTAGCCAGAGATTTCTCTCGGCGATCTTTCCGGTTTAAATTCGACTCGCTGGAGGAGGCTAAGCCGGTTTTCACGGGTCGAAGCTACTGGATTCGGAAAACGCCACCCTGGGCGACGCATAAATTCGCGACATGTGCTCCTAATGGCCGTAACGCTAAGGACCTCGCGAGTGCACTCGGGGGGCGGATAAATGGCAACTTTACCCGGTTTTCCATTTCCGGGCAGTACTTCTTTCTCGCCCTTTATTCTCCGAAATGAATTCCCGAATGTTGGAGCGAAGCTGGACGCAGAATTGCAGCATTGCATCCAAGTGGGCGGTGCATGGCGTGATGGAATTAGTGCCTTGGACTGCAGCTGCAGTTGGATCTCTGCAGCTCCCGTAATTCGTTCCTTCGTGACGGATCGGCGTCGATGCCACCGTCGCCATTTTGTCGCGCAAACGACTGAGGTAATTTGCATCACTGTCTGTCCTTCCCCCCGAATATCTGCATGCGAATCTCGTCGCGATGCGAGATCAATCGAAAGGAGTTACGAATTAAAATTCAGGTCTTCATCCCGAGGGATGAAAACCTTTTCGACATGCGAATGACAGAGGCAATTTTCAGCGCTTCCTGATTTTCGAATCTCACCATCGATACGAGATTAATCGTATTAAGGGAGTCGTGAACTTCGGGATGACAATTGATGATTGCGATCAATTAGTACCTTAGATATTACCAGCTCTTTTAATTGGTTCCTTCGTGACGGATCCGCGTTGAAGCTGTCATCGCCTTTTTCTTGCATATATGACAGAGGCAATTTGCAGCGCTTCCTGATTTTCGAATCTCGCCATCGATACGAGATTAATCGAATTAAGGAAGTCGTGAACTTCGGGATGAAAATTGCGATCAATTAGTACGTTGGATATTTGCAACTGTTTTAATTGGTTCCTTCGTGACGGATCCGCGTTGAAGCTGGCATCGCTATTTTGTCGCATATACGACAAAGGCAATTTGCATCGCTGCCTGCCCTCCCCCGAATGTCTGCATGCGAATCTCGTCGCGATACGAGATCAATCGAAGAGTGACGCGAAATTCGGGATGGAAAAGTTTTCAAAACCGTTTGCGATGAATTCCTCTCGTATACTCCGCCTCGTTGGCAGGGGCTGGCGGGGTCCCTAGGAATCCATGAATCCTAGGGATTTTCCGGCAGTGAAGCTCCAACGGCATGTGGAAAGAACGGCGGCTGCGAGGCTACGGGGTCAGGAAAACGCCCGTGAATTTCCCCGGTAAAGAAACTGCGTTTACGAGCGAGATTACGCGGGAGTCTCTCGTGTTCCGGAATCGTTCAATCTCCCTATTCCATTCTAAACACGAAGTGTACAAAGAAATTCCTCTAGGAGAGTTGGGAATCCTGAAAATGTTCCCCGGTTGTCCGTTTCGAGAGGTTAAAATCGATCTCGGTGATCCTTTCCGGAGTCTCTCCTCGACCGAGAAAACGAACTCTTTTTACCCAGACTCATTGTCGGCAGGGAGAAGTTAAACGGCGATAAAAGCGAACGTGCATAAGATAAATCCCTTTCCCATCGAGGCGTCCCTTTTGTTGGAGTTCGGGAAGCAATCGGAACTCATGATTTAGGGGTCGGTTCTTTTTTTTTTAGGGCCGATCGAAAAGCTATACAAAGGCGCCCGAGGTCTCTCGGACATCGGGGATTCTTCGTTAGGGGAAAGTTTGAGGGGATCTTTGATATTACTTTTCAAGGAAGTTTTCCTTTCGAGAAGCTTTCCTTCAATGGGCTCGAAAGGGGCGAGTTTGGCCGACCTGTCTTCGCCCGACTGTTCCGATGCACTTCGGGCTTCGGCCAACTTTTGCTGGGGCTCTTTTTTATGCGTCAACTTTTTGGTGGGATAAAAAAATATTCAACTTTAAACCACCCGGGACCCAGAGTCTCCCTTTTAGGAGTGGACGAGGGCGCCGGAATACGGAAAGTTCTGGGAACTGCTCGATGTAAAGCGGAGGAAGCGAAATTCAAATCGCTGTCAAAGATGTGTGGAATACGCGTGCCCTCGTAATGATTGGCAAACTCCAATTCGCATAGTAAACCTGACTCTGAGGAGCGGATTATTGCGACGGACGGGGATTAAAGAAGTGGGTCATTTTACATTTGCGAGCCAGATTACATGCTTCGGGCATCGATTCCGGGAGAATGCGTTTCCATGGCTCACTAAATGCTCTGGTCCGCCACATACAAGCTCAAGATGCTCCAACTGTGTCGATCTAGTTGACTAGTTGTCCGACCGACTACATGGGTCATGGAATGGTCAGACCATTCAGTATGTGATATGATAGTAATCGAAAATTGTGAAGCAGCTTAAATGTCCGGGAAAATTATCGCACCCCGCGGGCGATTCTTGGATGTACGTCGAGGATTTATTGAAAATTGTAAAGGATTAACGCAACGTTTTTTGGGCGTTCCAGGAAGCTCCTGCAGGCGACCGTGAGAGCCAATCGAACCGGCCACTTCTTATGGGTCGGCAGCGATTCCTGGGGAGCCAAAGTGTATCCTGTCAGGGACCAGGAATTCGCCGCCGAGGGAGCCATTACGATCCTGCCCTTCCGAAATGTCCTGGAAGGTAAGACCACCACTATTTCCTTTCCCAATATGCTCTCCCAAATTAGATCGTTCCCTTGGCAAAGGACCGGACCGCGGGAGAAAAGCCCGCCAAAGGCGACGATTCGTCCGACGCGAAAAAGGGGAGATAAACGAGAAACCCGTGGTGAATACAAATTCTGGACACTCTCGGTTACCCTGAAAATTTATCCCCAAAATCACCATCCGACACAGTCTCTCGTTTGTTATTTCCTGTATGTTTCTCCCCATTTTCGATGCACCGCCGAATAGCTTTCGAAGTAGTGAGATGATTTTCTCCCCCCAATTTTTTCCGCGGCCATTACGCAGAAAGTATGATCGAGTTTGACGTCGAGGCTCCATTCGCATTCGACGAGCATGTCGGGCCAAACGAACATTTAATGAAAACTCGTAAAAGAGCGCACTTCGATGCGAGCACTCGTTCGAACGCCATTCCGCGGTGCGCATCTTCGCGTTTTATGCGGATACCGTGTTACATTTACAAAGTGCCCGCGTTCCAGGTGAATTGCAGGTGGAGGTTTCATTTGCGACACCTCGGACGACCCCTTTGGCACGTTTTCCCTGGTGTGAACAATTTTCGGACAGCCACCCCGTCTGAGGCCGACCTACTTCCACGCCGTCTCTTTATTTTGACTCACTTCCATCCATTTCCAGGGACACTTTTATGCCGTTTGAAGCCGTATAGATCGGATTTCCCACTCCTGGTGGGAGAATTCTGAATCCAGAACGTCGATTATGGGAATTATGATCCTACGAGAATGGGCCGTAAACCTCCAGTTTTCGCTAGCACCGCGCTACGCGGAAAACTTTGTTTAAAGGCGGCTACGTGTTTACAGGGCCACGAAGGGCAGTAAAGTCGTCTCGGCGGAGTCTCCCCGGGAAATTGCCTGTAAAAATCAGTAAAAGGACGAGCTAGGTCCTCCAGGTTCTCGCCCAGGCGTGCTTCGTTACCGGCAGTGTCCGAGGACAAGAGCCGCGTGATTTGAGCGAATCGGCCCTCCACTTTGTACCGGTGCAAATTACACCGCGACGGTTTACCGAGGACAAACACGCTGGAATATCTCGTTTACGTAATGCTCGCTGGGAGAAATTAGCAGTTTCCACGAATCCGAGTATACCGGCCGGTAACTGCCTGCAGATAGGACGACGGAATTTCCATCCGCGCATAAGGAGTTACCCGGAATATCCAGGAAACGCCACGTAAAGTGACAGTAAAAACCGCAACAAGGAGCACCATCCGAAGAAAAAGCGATAAAACGGAACGACCGTGAAAAGTGACGTTAAAAAAAAAAATGGTAACAATTTCGCTTTGACTCCGGAAATTTTCTCGCGGAACAAGGGGGATCGACAGTAAAACTGTTTGTCCGGGTTTTATTGCACGGATTCTCCGGAGTGATATCTCGAAAAATTGAGGGAGACTCCTGGGGGATATATATTAAACCTTATTTTTATGTTACCCCTTCCCCATACCGGTCGCTATCGCAAGGATTGATAAAATCCGGGGCTCGATTAATCCTCCGGGCCGACAATACGGAGGCGGGACAATGGGGGATAAAATAACAGCCTTGATTGCATTTAAAATGCGCTCAATGGAAACCGTTACATCATCCTCGACCTCATTTAAATTCTGACGGGATACCCCGAAAGTTTGCCTTCAGAGAAAAATTGCGGAACAATCACTTGCATCCACGCCGAGGGCAGGATTGATCGACTGGAGCAGCGCGCGGAGTCGCTTTCAGCGGTTCCTTTCATTCCACCTTAAATGTACTCAGGATAAATTCGTTATTTATGAATAAGTCTTGCCACGATCTTTATTCCTTACTTTCAGGGTGTTATCAGGGTGCATATCGGACTAAAGTACGCGGCAGTATCGGAAACTGTTACCGCGAAGACCAGTCGAATGCGAAGGGGGTTTCGTGAACAGTTGAGATCATGAAACCCCCTATAGCTCGCAGGGTATTACGAGCCGGGATTTAGGTGTGCTTTACGAGGACTTGCTGCTGATCAGCATCTATTTACCCGCGCTAACCATGCGAGATATCGATATATCGGCGATTCGATTTCCCGATTTGACCGAGAATCGCTGAAGGGTGGCTTTAGGGTCTCGTTGGAAATCGAGCCACTAAAGACATGCACGGCCCCTCGTCGAGAAGTATTTCCACGGTGGATTTTTCCTTTCCTCGATTCCTTACGTTTCTTGCGTTCCTTGTCTTTCTTGTATCCCAGAAAGATATCCTCCCCGTGAAGAAATATCCCGGATTATAGACCGCCTGAGAAGAAGGGGAATATTTTTTGGCTTCGCAGTTCTTTGTTGAATATGGACCTGGAGTCCTTTGACGGGGTTGCACAGATGTTGGTAATCGTGATCGCTATGCCGACGCGGATGAAAAACGCGCGAGGCATTATTTATTTCTGCATCATACGTCGTTTTCCGCCCCAGCCACATCCCTCATCGTTGGATGAACGAATCCAAAGGGCCCAGGGTCGCGAAGAGAATTTCCCCGGGAACGTTCCTCTCGTTTCCGGGTCGATCTAGCCCTCGTCAGAAATGTCCATTGTTCCGGCGAGTGGACGGCAGCTGGGCGCGTTTTCACAGCCGACCTACAGGTCGTTTCAGGAGGGTGCTTTCCGCGACCCCCGCGAGCTCGAGTTTTCGGCCGGACCAATTAATCTTTGCGAGATGCAAGAAACACTTTTCGACATCTAGTCCACGGAAAACTAGGGGAGACCAAGTGGAAACTCAAGGGAAGATCCAGAGGAGGCTGGAAACCATCAGAAGGAGGGAAGCGAGGGGAAAGGGACACTCTAGGGTGGGTATAAGAGGAGGACGTTCGATTGCACCGTGGATCATCAATTTTCACCTCAATTATTATTCCCCGACGGCACTTCTACGTTAGGATTTCCCCGTCCTATCGACGGAAAAAGGAGCTCTCTCCGGGACGAGCCATTTGCAGGTTGCCGGTAATTAATGCTGATTTCCAATGCGTCCATCGATATCCGATGCCGATCCTTTCGACACCCTAGGCCATTTTTCACACGATGGTCCATTTTTCACCCGGCGTGAAATTGGGATTCGCAAATCTGGAGTACTCGGTGTACAGGTGGAGCTCAACTCTACGAGTGGAGGTTGAGAGAATATTAACCGTTTGAGTACCAGGGGTTATTGAGAAAACAATGTCGAACAACGCAATAGCGCTGTTTTAATTGAGGGCGAAAAGAGCCAAGTGGCGCGATAGTGCTCACAATTTCGATAGCTTTAAGGTGACATGAAAGAGTCATTGTATATATATCTGAGAAGTCAAATCGTTAAGGAAAGTATTCTCCGAATTGTGTGTACCAATTCATTTCAAATCTTACCACGTGAATAAGGAGGCCCTAAAATAGACCCTAAAACTCACGAAATTCCATTTCTCACAAAAAGTTTATGTATTTATCATGGACTAGAACCAACATGGCGCGGTCCGTGCACGTTTTCGATGTTTTACGCTTCTTGGAGGTTTAGAATCGAAAATGAAGAGCTTCAGGACCTAGCTCGAACAGTTTAGAATACCGTAGAAATGGAATATTACAGTATCAGATGGGACAATATGAAAAATACTTTCCCCAACGATTGCAAGAGAATGCTGGATTGTCTCGGGAGTAACGCGTGTTTTTAGAGCAAAACTTTCGTTGCAACTAAACGTCACAGATGGCGACGTTGGACCTATACAGTCGTTAGAATAATGAATTCAGGGGATTTAGACAGTTTTACATCGATCTCTTCGTCATTACTTCGTTGAAATGATATATAGAACCCTTCAGTTCGTATCATTCTCAACGTAGACTGTAAAAGACTTCAACATAAATATAAATGTCGGTAACGCGACGCGCCAACTTATGTTCCCCCTTGAGTATTTAAAATGACGTTACCACCAAAAAGGGTACAAATGAATTTTAATTGATGAACCTCGATTAAATTTCTCAGCGCCTTTCATACCATCTTAAGAGCACCGTCAGTTATCCATACCGTTCAAACGTACCGGCGTTTTTTCGACATGAAATCTAAACGGCGCGATCGCGCAGCTTGAGACTCAAACGGTTAAGTCAATCGTGGATAGTAATTATTCATTCATGATTTCAGGCTTCGATAGGTACTACAATAATCTTCGTCCACGACTGGGCGAGGAGTGCGGCGACCAGGCGGAAAAAAATGTGCCGCACGAGAAGTTGGACGGGAAGATGGTCAATTGCCGGAATATCTGGTTCAGGGAGTTCTGGTCGCAGCATCACAAGTGCAGCTTCGGCCCCGTCATTCCTCCAGGGGTGAAGCGCTGCACCGGGGAGGAGAACCTGAACGACTACGAGCAGGAAGGACTCGTTCCTTTCGTCGGTAAGGAATTAATTCCCACTTCTCTCTCTGCGACGCCTTCGTAGCGATAAAACGAAAAGGCCATACTTCTCCCGAAAAACCCTCATCGGGTGCCGAGGGGGCAACTTGTCGCGTTGGAATCGACCTGTAGATCTTGGAAGCGGCCGAAGGTCGCAGTGCGCAATCTGTTTCTAGGTTAGAAAAATGGCCGCGGGCTTTGACGAGATGTTGGAGGAGTGCCGAGCTCGGGGGAGGAACGCGCGCTCGGCCAAGTGGATTCTTCGCCGCGGACACGATGAATTTTTTTCGGCCCTCCCGAGGCTTGATTTTCAGGAAATAAACGACCCTCTCCTCCTCGCGTTAAGCGACGTCTTCCGCTCACCGCGTCGGAGTGACCCGCCATTTTTTTATCGCCTCCCCCCGGTTGCGGTCCACGGAATTCTTCGCGCGACCGACTCGTTCGATCCACCCCTGCCTCGAACACCCCACCCGAGACAAACGGGAAATTTAACGCGAAAAACTTCCCTCGCTCCAGTTTTTCCGAACTACACTTGTCTCAGGGGTTCTCCTCTCCTTTTCCCTCCCAATATCGCGCCTTCCTCCGCGACATCCACTCTTCTCGCCTCCGACTTCGCACCTAACGAACCTCTCTTGTCCGTTGGAATTCTTCTCCCGCGTTTTCCCCCATGTATTTCCCTACAGGAAAGTGACTCCATTCCTCGTTTCCCAAAAAGTATGGGACAGTTTTACCGATTCTTTTCTCGTAGTCCCCGTTATCTCGGGGGGTTCCGAAACTTTGCACCAGCCCGACGTTTAATGCGTTCCTTCGGTCCTTGTAATCTTTTACCTTCCTTTTTGAGCTTTATCTCGGCAATTTCTCAGCAATTCCCGCCCTTGGAAGGTCCCTAGGGCTCTGATGAACCATTCTCTCCCTCGAGAGAAATTCATTAGCGTGGTACTTAATGCCTTTATGGCGCTGCACTAGGTGCCTCGAAATAGACCGATCGCGGTAAAAATGGCCTTCCGGGTTCATTTACTTCCTGATATGATTCCCCCGTACCGAGGGCGGGCATTTTCGCAATTCCGCGGTTATAATTACGAACTTGCCTCAGCATTTGTGGCAGCCATCGCGGGGGGTGCTCCAGCCCCGGGGTTGTTAGTGGTCACATTGTTCTCGCTATTACATGGTGCCGATGAAATCGACTGCAAACTTTGCTGAATTACACTGAATTACCACGGAGCTGATAGCGGAATATTGGAATCGTTGTTACTACGCGGTCGAATCTACGGAGGTAATAACAAAGCCTCGATGAAAGGCCGAAAAACCTCCCGGGAAGGAAATCTCCTTTACCCCTCGCGAGTCTCTTCGACGCAGAGGAGCTTTTCCATCTAATTTATTTATTCATTTATTTATTTATTAAAGGATGCAACTCCGAGGGAAATTCCCCCGGTTCGGTGAATCCCATTGGAAGGCGAGACCGAAGGAAACCACGATTGGGCATCGAACTGTTCGGTGCTTTGTGCCCACTCGGCTTTGTCCTTCCGAAGTTTCCCCGGAAAAACTGGGAAAGCTGGTTGTCACGGACGTCAACCCCCTTGTTCTCCACCGTTCCTGGTCAGCTTTCCATCGCCAGAGACCACTCTTTGTTCCATCCTCGTTTGAAGTCGAGACGCGATGGACGACCTCACTTGACCCCCGTTTTCCGGATATCGATGAAAACCTCCCGCGATTTAGAAGGTCGGTTCGCGTAGAATGATGGTAAAAAAGAATAATTCGGTAAAAAGTGAAATAGGAGGAGTTGAGAATTGCGGGGAATTCCTTCCCTCTATAACCCCTCTGCGGATTCGATTGTTACGCGGCAGGCTATGAAGAGATCGAGCGAGGGTGGCGTTTAAGCAAGGGTGCCTTAAGTATACCCTGAAGAGGAACCCGAAGATCAATCCCTGCGAACCCTTAGCTGGCAAGCACCGTTCCGCGGCTGAACTTTTCTCGTTAGCGGAAATTAATCGGGCAACTCGGAGAAATTGATGTCCTCGACAAAGTGTACCTGCAAAGTGCGCCTTATGAGCCGCTCGCGGCTGCACATTTCTGACTCTTTCCCAATATATCAAGGTGATATGAAAGTGTGACGTATACGTAACAAAAAGACAAAATATTTATAAAACTTTTCTCCAAACCGGGTGCACCGAATTATCTGAAACTTTAACACGTGATATTTACGATATATACGATATTTTCACCAACGATTTGACTTTTTAGATTCATATAACGTATATATATATAACGCAACGTATTATGCATCGTGACGATTCCTGGACTGGCATCGGTTTCTGCACCGATTCTTTCGTATCATTTTAATCCCTATCAAAGTCGAAGAAAAAATCCTCACCTCAAAGTCGTTTCCGTTCACAGTCGACGCAGTCTACGCAATGGCCCACGCGGTCCACAACATCATCGAGGACGAGTGCGTGGAAACGCAGGACGCGATGCACTTCCTGTGCGACTCCTTGAAGCCGGCCCCCCAGGGGCAAAACCTGCTGCATTACATTCGAAACGTCAGCTTCGTTGGTAAGTCACCATACAACTGCCCACTTTTACTCACGAGGATATTTATCCCAGGAAACTAGATCCCGCTGAAACTTGGTGCATCCACGGAAGGGATGTTTTTCAAAGCCAGCCAGGACGCGGCCAGCAGGACACGTTAATGAAAATTTCACTGCCCCTGGAGTACAGGGCTGAAAGTATCTCCTGACTTTGAGTCGGACCCCGGTGGAGGGAAAATTACGCGACCGTTCGTATAGAGTCCTGCGGAAAATTCACGCGGTATATCGGCCGCTCGACGACGCTCTTATTTCCCGGCGTCAGGATATTGACTTATCCCGAGAGGTTTCCGAGTTTTCCGTGTTCCCTGGGGTGTATATCTTGGCTCGCCAGATGCAAGAGGGTTTACGGTCCCGCAGGAACGAAACGGCATAGAGCCGGCCGTCATTCGATAACCCGATAACCGGAAGTGGCATCGCGCGAACCTTTTCCTCTTCGACGACGTATTGTGCATCCTGACGATTCCTGGACTGGCATCGGTTTCTGCACCGTCTGTATTTCGTTACACGCCCTTTGCTTATTACGCAGGGCACGGCGAAACGTATACCCGGCAGGATCTCCCATGTACACTCGGAATGCCACCCAAGAGAGTGCCCTATAAATTAATGGAATTAACTGTCCCGCTTAGTACCGCGGATATGCAAATTTCCGCGCGCGCCGTTCCATCGCGCAATTCCCGGAAGCGACACCAAGACGCCGCGGAAAATTATTACGATAATTCCCGCTTCGACGTTCCGGGTGGCCGGGTTTGTCGGTGAAAGAATTAGCGCAATTGCGGGCCCCTCGCCTCGTTTTCCCTGGAATTTCCCGGGGCAATTAAAGCGGCGACGTTACGCGTCCCGGTAGTCGCGGCCGTTTCCGACGCCAACTCGGAAAATGCACGGTAAACCGAGCATTGTCTCGGAGCACACAGGTATTCGGTACATTGAACAATTTCAGGGGGCCGGGGTGGACTAAATGTGTACAACAAAGTGCGAGATATGAAGGTGGAGGCGCGTTTCCCCCGCGGTCTTTGGGCGCTATCGGGAGGATGCATGGTCCATACTTTGTACCTACGTCCTGCACCATTTTGCACGTCTTGCACATCTTATACATCTTTGTTGGTTTGCTGGAAGATAGGTAGGTATTCTTGTCATTGAATAGTCACGTGGCCGATGGGGCGCGGGACGATTACAGGAATGGGATAAATAATGGCGTCCCCTCTTCTGTCGGAGGAAAACCTCGCGGCGAGCCCTGACCCCGCAGGAGACAGATATAAATTCCCGAGGATAATGGCCTCTTCTTGGTGGGTGTGGGGGTCGGCAGATCCTGCAAGGATATTACGTGTGCCCTCAGCCAACCGAGGCCAGTTATCATAAGTGGGAGGCTTTCGAGTCCAGGATCCTTTATCACGCCAACCCCAATTGTGTTTTCATCGCGCTACAAATTAGAATTACTCCGGAGAACATTGAAAAATGGCAGCTTACTCAATGTACGGACGATTTGGGCCAAGTGAACTAAAGCGCCGGTTACATCTATGCGTAAACGTCGGGGAAGAAAATTTTCAAAAATCCCGGAATCGCGTCGTCAGCCATTTGGAACGAGAGCCGACCTCTTTCAAGCGCCACCGCATTTCGTTATTTATCGTCATGTGAAATTTATAAGCCCGCCGAGGGCACTCCGCTTCCTCGGCCGGAATTCTGATGTATGGTATGATGTTTACATACTTTTAAATAATCTATGCAGAAGTTGGTGATTTATCGCGCAACCTGCCCGATAAATCAGGTCGTCGCTTATGCATTCCAAGGGGGCGGCGGAAGTTTTCGAAATCATCGAGAAGTTCCTTCGCCCCGTCGAAGTTAATTACATGTCCAGGTGAACGACGCGTTCAAATTTCGAGCCCTGAAACATTCGTCTCCTCGGACGCGGGGAATACGGGGCTTAATTCCGCCGCGAAAGCTTGTCCAGAAATAATCCTTCGGGATTCCGAGAGAGTAATCCTTCGCCGAAAAAGGTCTCTCTCGTCCCGATGCGGATCCCGCCGCCCTGAGAATGGTACGCTTTTCAGGAAATGCGGATAAACGCAGCAAAGTTAGCCTTCCCTTTTTCCATTTTCCCCGGACATTGTTTACGGGACATTATTTGCCACGTGTGTGCCTCTCGTGGAAGCTCGTTATAAGGGACTCGTATAATGAGCTTTCGCAAAAAGGCTTAAGACTGCCCGGCGGCCGAGTGTACCGGGTTTAACTTCTTGTTTTTACATTTTTTACCATTTTTTATTCCCCCGCTTTAGCGAAGGAACGGAAAAGCGAGCGGCTGGAAAGTCAGCGATTCAGCCGAGACTATGGAGGACTTTAAAGAAGGGCCCTCTTTAATTTCCCTCATTTTTCCCCTGGATTCAACGCGGCGGCGCCATCTTGAAAAGACTTTTGCGCTCTAGTACCGAGATGTAGGCAATCGCAAGAAAGGAGCTTTCCGAGGAATTGAAACTCGAAATGACGGTGCTCGAGGTGCCGTTATCGGTGTGTTTTATTCCCCTTCAATCTTGTCATCAAAAATGAGATAAAAGAATTAGATGAAAGTCTTACGTCGGGGACATTATTTAATTTTCCCGCGCGATTCCCACTTCCGCGGCAAGTTATCTCTCAGAGACGTTTCCATGTGATTTCCCACGACGGCCTGGCCGGACGCCATTAATTTGAATAACGTCTTCAGCCACTACTTTTCCCCATTTTGTCAGCCCCGCACGTCGGAGGATCTTCCGCGCGAGAAGTGCCGTGCATTAATTTACGAGATGCGCTCACCAGGGCGGAAGTGGCGAAGTACCGTCACTTGCCACGTCACAGGAGACGTAATCACACGTCTAGGGATTGCCGGAAAGTATAACGACGTTGCAGCCTTCCTTTGCGTAATTCGGCTCTCACGCCATTAGCGCGAGAGGCGTTAAACGCGGCATACGTTGCAAACGACGGGGCAGACCTTCGCCTGGAATGGAAATTCCTGGGTAGAGATATTTCAGCGATTTTCAAATTACAATATGTAGAAGGAGTAATCGAGCTCTGTTCTTTTGTCCAGGTCGGCAAGGGACGGAGATCAAGTTCAACGCCGACGGGGATGCGTACGGTTTTTACAACATTTATCAATATCAGCAGAACGGGGATGGCCGCTTCGATTACGCCCTGATTGGAAACTGGAAAGAGACGTAAGTCGGCCCTTCCGTTCTGCGACGTGCACGTCGATATTCCGGGGCACGTTTAATATCCTGAGGATTTTTATCCCGCAGTCTGGAGCTCGATATAAATATGACGAAGTGGACCGTTGGCCCGGGAGAGGCTCACATACCCCGCAGTACGTGCAGCGACAATTGCCCACTGGGTCATGTACGGAATTTTCAGGTGAGGATAACGCAAGGATCTTCGTTTGAGTAAGGGAGAATTTCTTGCAATAATTCCCGCTCGTGCTAAGGACGGGTTAGGAATGGGCGCACTTCCCCGAGAGCCGGTTCTTCATATTTCTTTCAGGCGTTTCCGTGCGACGTGCGTTGGAAATAAATGTGGAAATAAATGTGGCGAGTGTCTGCAATTTGGCAAATGCCGTTCTCCTCTTGGGAGTACCGATTGGTACGATCGATGAGCACGCATTCGGCCGGGCCGTAATTTTAACCAAGTAACCGGAAGAACGTTCCCGAGACCCGAGTGCAAATGAAGGGTGCAAAACTGCTCCATAAATAATATCGAGCCAGCGTTTTGGTAGCGCGTATCGAGCCCTAATCGCCTCGAAACACGCCCTTCTCTCGTACCAAGATGGCCACTCCCTGCTGACGTCACTACCCGGACCTCGTAATCGTAATTCGTTAAATTCACCCTTGTCATTATACGTAAGCGCCAAGTGGTAGTTGCACCTGTTGGGCGCGAAAGAAATTAAACGTTCCTTCGTTTGGGCACCACGACCGGGATTACAGCCCCTCGTAATTTGGTAGCGACAATTGCCCCAACCGAGGTAGATGCAAGTTTTTACTCCCACCGTAATCTCTCCGCCGTCACTCCTAGCTTTTCAAGGAATACCGAGTTACGAGTTTGGGTAATGAGCAAACGAGGTACGTAGAAACTGCTTTCCTGCAGGAAACGGGATTTACGGGACTCTGTAACGGGCGCAAAAAGTTACATCTTCCGCCTCGGACCCTTCGAATTAATTGGGATTTGCGACGCTCCTCTGGGCCCGGACGTGACGGCAATTTCTAAGCGAGCTGTAAACTCGAATTGTTTACAGACGCTCGCAAACAGTTGGTAACTTTGGGAACAACGTTTGATCGGATCCCATCACTCGCGCTTAGCATAAATCGGCTTCGCGACTGGAGACAGCCTTGTCGAGTTTAGGACCACCCTGGAGTCGCAGGACCCAGGACACTTTTTTCCTCCCCAAAATTCTCAAGGAAAGAAGCAATGGCTCGAGCATTGGTGGGAACGAACCAAGAGCTGGGAATCAAGTTTGCGAGTTCACCGGTCTAATTTTGGAGAACGGTTCTCGTTCACCTCGGGCAGAGGGATGGTAATTGGACCGGCAACCCGGGGAGGCCTCACTCATCGAGTTCACTTCCGGCCTCGAAATCAAACTCGATGGCTGTTAACGAGTGCTATCGCGGTAAAATAACAAGCTGAATTCTGCCGCGATTGAGTCCAGCCAGCTGAGTACTAGTTGTTCACGTAGAGAGGCCTGGAGGGCCGATATTGCGCGAGTTGGAGAGGCCTATAAACAACTTTTCACAGGCCTAACAATCCAACCCCGTCGAAGTCTTGGTTGAAGTTCCCGAAACTCCGGGTATAACCTTGAAGTGGCAATGAAATCCCTGAACGGGGATTGGAAAGGTTCCGGTTGCTGTACCTTTATCACCGAATTACTTTCACGTACCCACTCCTGGAGCGTGTCGTGAAAAGTCACTTCCAAGTCCTCCCCAGGAAACTTCTCGAAATGACCGCTTCATTGAAATATCTGGACACGTACATTTCCTGAATTTTATATTGTTTCACTTGCAGCTGCGCGTATTGCGCACATTTCCTGAATTTTATATTGTTTCAGTTGCAGCTGCGCGTATTGCGCGCAGACCATTAAATTGGGGCTTTCAGTGTATCGGATTAAAACGTCAATCCGCTTTTAGAAAAGCAATCGAACGGGTTTCAAATTGAAATCGTAGCCCCCGCCCAAGAATTATGGAATGGAGTTTTCCCTGTATGTGTGAACTTTTTAATCCGGAGCCGTGTACGTTCTGCAAATTCTCTCTCTCTCTCTCTCTGGTGTCGAACGGTGAACCCGTTCGGAACTGGCAAGGACGATCGAGCCGCCTGCAACTTCGCGTCGCAGGATATTGGTGACCTACCAATATCCTGGCACTGATAACTCGATAAAGCCCGGATACTCATTGACTACGGCTTCGGATGGAATTGGAAACTTCGTGGACCGTTTAGCTCCAGATCATGTCATTATACCTCGAACAAAGGACCGTCTTCCGAGACACGCGTGACAAAGGCAATCCGCGAAGTTCCGAACTTCCCGCTAGCGATTTTCGCCCCGACCTTTAATTTCCACCGCGACCGCGGCCTCGCGGAAAATTGCAAGGCTTGCGCACATATTAACGTGCTTTAATGAACTTAAAGTAATAATCCAGCGCGCCGAGCCCCACCTTTTCTAACTGGAATTAACGCCGCAAACAGTTGTAATAAGCGAGTTGGCAAATTGTAAAGCCCCCGACGTTGTCTCCCCCCCCCCATTCCGTATAAAGTTGATAAATAACTTTCTAGCCATTTTAATTTCGTCCCTTCCCGACTCCCCGGCGAGGCGAAAATAAAAAGCTCGAAGACTCCCATCCACCTCGTCATTTCCTGTTGGAAACGACGGGACTCGCTTGTAATTGGTCCAACTACAATTCCCGCTTCCCTCGCGCCAGAATTCCTCTTTTTACAATTCGTTACTCTACCACGGAGACAAATACGTTGGCCGTATTTCGCAGGGCTGCCAAGAGTATTGGGAACATTTCCGATAATGGTAAAATATACCCAGGGGCGAGGAGGTCGGGTTCCCTTAGGAAGTCTTGCCACCGGGACACTTTCCGCCCTTGTTTCCTCCTCTGTGAATTTTCCCATTTTCTCCTCATTTTAATATTTCATTCCCTTGCCCTCTGTGCGTTGCTTAACTTTCAATTTCTTCCCGTCTAATCGGACGGTTTTACAGTCCGAATGCTGAAAGGACAGAGAGGATTTATAGCGCCGTCTAACGGGGTATATTAAGTTTTCGATAAACCGAAAGGGCCTTATTAATCAGAAAATGGGTTATTTTAAATCCGAGCGGAACTTTATCGGACATTCGCACCCGCCATTAAGTTGGATTTAAACCGGCTCTCCTTCCCCCATTGGAGAATCATCGAAGTAGGCGCTAAACCGACGAAAGTTCCTGGCCGATTAAATCACCGGGAACTTCTTCGGGCGTTCGCTTTAATCTCTTCAAGGTGCCAGAACTTTTGAACTTATCTGCGCCACTGACGAGGCAGCTAATTCACAGGCGCGAACTTTTCTCACCCCCGACATTTTTGCTTCTCTCGCGCCTACCGGATCGAGCCGATCTCCGTCTCTCTCTCTTCCTCTTAAAAGGAAGGTATCCCAGGTCGATCTCTCCGATTTGATTTCCTTTATAATATCTTATAGTAGACTAAATATTAAGCGACACGTATTTTTTTTTATCTGCCATTAAACACTTTAAGGGGGTGAAACCACCATCCAAAGTAAGGCATGTCAAGGGGCGATTTGGCAATTTTACCCACAAGAACATAATATTTTTTAACTAATCCACCTGGAAAAGCTTTCTTATAACGAGAAATGAAAAATATAATTTTCTCAATTAAAAAAAAAAAAAAANAACCACCATCCAAAGTAAGGCATGTCAAGGGGCGATTTGGCAGTTTCCCCCACAAGAACACAATATTTCTTAACTAATCCACCTGGAAAAGCTTTCTTATAACGAGAAATGAAAAATATAATTTTCTCAATTAAAAAAAAAAATTAAGGGGTGAGCCACCCCTCACAGTCCTTACTTTGGATGGTGGTTTCACCCCCTTAAAGTGTTTAATGGCAGGTAAAAAAAATACACGTCGCTTAGTGCTTAGTCTACAATAACATATTATAAAAGAAATCAAATCGGAGAGATCGATCTGGGATACCTTCTTTGTTAGAAGAAGAAACTTCCCAATTTTCTGGGACTAGAAAAATGACTGACATTCCCCGATGATTGTCCAGGAAGCCTGCTGCTGGAGTTGCGTCGCCTGTCGAGAAGATGCATACGTCTTCAACGACACCTGTCGTAGTTGCGACCCTGGCTATGCACCTGACGAGACCAAAAGCAGGTGCATCAAGCTAGCTGCGGAAGTCATTCCCTGGACCAGTCCTTGGGCCGTAGTTCCTCTGACTTTCGCCTCCATCGGGATCCTCAGCACCCTCTTCACAACGGCCGTATTCATTCGGTAAGGATAAGAACGAAACGATATAAAAAAGAAAAAAAAAACAGATTTACACAAAACCTCTCCATAGCCAATAACCACAGAAAAGAATTTCAACAAAATCGTTTGACTGCATTTGGTTCATTTAATAATAAGCTCCAATCGAGCGGATCGAATTTCAGTTCATTTAACCAAACTCGTTAGCTTCGATCAGCCAGGATTTATTTCAGTCGTTTTTTGTTAGCTTCCGAAAATATTTCATTCCATAACCAAATATTTTAGTTATATACCCCGAGTTACTATTTGCTGCAATCTGCCGGAATATTGGAAGTTATTAATCAAAGAATTTTCGCAACCAAATATTGGGTTGTCCACGTAATAACCATGTCCTCCGGTTGAAGCAACACGAATTTTATCAACTCAGCCGAATATTTTTCTGTGCGATTGTGCGATAAATAATATCATGTCGTAAGTATTGAGAAAACTATCGCTGGTCCGGTGACGAGGATCCCCGAAAGTCCCGAGTGGCCGATGAATGTTTCATAAGCGCGCGATAGGGACGAGACCTACAAAGAGGAAGGAATCCCAAATGAAATTCCAGCCGAATGAAAGTAAACGAGTAATTTCTTAACTGGGATAAGTAAAGTAAACTGAGCGAGCAACGATCAAAAGGCGGTCCACGGGTGCAGATTGAAAGTTCCGCGGGAGGTACCAAGAGTTCACCCTCGAGCCGAGACTTTTTAGCTTCGGTGAGATTTCTTGGACGTTGCACGAAACTAATACTTGCACCGATTTCTTCTTTAACGACAGCTTCAACCGAACTCCCGTCATCATGGCGTCCGGACGGGAGCTCTGCTACGTCCTCCTGGTCGGGATCCTCTCCTGCTACGGCATGAGTTTTGTGATCCTCAGCAAACCCACCACCTGGAACTGCACCTATTTGCGGATAGGATTGGGACTCTGTTTGAGCATCTGCTACAGTGCCATCCTGACGAAGACTAATCGCATATCGCGAATATTCAATCAAGGGGTTAAGACCATCAAGAGACCCTCCTACACGTCCCCAAAGAGCCAGGTGGCCATCGCTATTGGTGAGGGTCCAGTCCGCTTTTGTACCGATCCGTTCACGAAACGTCACCCTTAGTTCCCGATCCTTCTTTCTCTTCCTTTTCTCACTTGGATCTCTGCCTCGGCGATCCTTTTCCTGATGGATGAGACCCCTTATTACGGCACTCCCGTTTGTGCAGGGATCACTGCAGTTCAGTTGGTGGGAGCTATAGCTTGGCTAATAATCGAACCACCGGACACGAAGGAGATCCACCCTTATCCGCTGACGGCAGTCCTGACTTGCCGGGTGTCGACCTTCTCCCTGATGATGTCGCTCGTCTACAACATGATCCTGATCCTCATGTGTACCCTGTACGCGTTCAAGACGCGGAAGATACCGGAGAACTTCAACGAGGCGAAGTACATCGGCTTCACCATGTACTCGACCTGCATCGTGTGGCTGGCCTTTGTGCCGATCTACTTCGGCACCAACAACGACTACAAAGTGAGTCCGAAAATCGGAATGACTCCCAAGGACGGCTCATGAAAATAACTGTCGAAGACGAGGTCTAATAACTCCGAGTCCATCCTTCCTGGGTCCCTAATCATCCTGCCTCTTTAAGAAAGTCCATTAACGAGGAACGTCCTCGGTTCGCCGATAAACGTCGGGAAGAGGAAGGCAATCTTTTTGAATCAACAAGAGCCTATAAATTAAAGAAGACCCCTTAAATAATTCAATCGAATCTTCATCAGAAATCTTACGCGATAGATATCGTTTCCCTTGGTTATTGGAGAAGGGGGCTATTTCTCGCTTTTGAAGCTTCACATCGATACGAAGGAATGATTAATTATCGTTTGTCAACAGATACAGATCGCCAGCATGTGCATGTGCATCAACATCTCGGCGACCGTCGCCCTCGGTTGTCTGTTCACCCCGAAGGTCTACCTGGTGCTCTTTCAGCCGTACAAGAACGTCAGGCCAGGCCACCCGAATGTGAGTTGAATTCTCAATCTAGCAAAGTCAACATCGCCACTTCGCGTCACGGTTCCAGGGTTCTAAAGCTCAACCTCGAGGAGCTTTCTCCCCCGAAGCTCCCCTTTTTTCCTTAATCTTCCGCAGCCCTTCGACGTCATAAGGTGTGAAAAAAAAGGACCCAGGGCGACTTTCCTCTGCCCTTGGGGGTTTCGACGGTGGCATTTGTTATCCGAGCGTGTCGAAATTTGTAGAAGCGTTTTCCTGAGAGATGCTCAACCGAATAACTCGCCTCTCCCGAGGGATCTCAATGATCAAAGCGAAGAGGAAGAGAGCGCAGGAGAGAAAGACGTCTCGGTCAGACAAAGTCCCTTCCCTGGACCGGCGTAAAGTCGATCCAACTGTGAAATGTCGATACTCGAAGGAAAATCTGTCGACTCGGATAAGGCCGGACACCGACGCGTTTTCAGTCCCTTATCACGTGCGGACCTGACCTACCCCGGACAATAGTTTATTTTCGCTGCACGTTGAAAGTTAATCCGCGTTATGGCTATCTCCCTGGCAAATATTTTCCCCTAAAATCTCCCGGTGGCGATCGTTACTCGGCCAGACGATTCCGGGAGGAAAGAGGCGACAAGGGACTCGGTTTAAATTCATCCATTTAAATGATAAACACTTTACCATTGAAATGCACCGGGATCCGGATAGAGCCCGAGCGAATCCTCGGCGAAAATTCTTGAACGCGGCCCGATTGGATTGCGCGGTTTAAGGGAAATAAGATTTAGTCGAGAATTTATGGTCGGTGTTGCAGGAAGTAAGTCTTTACAGCCGACATGCAGAAATGTCGCCAGAGCCGAGTGAAGTATCGGGCATTAAATTCTGCCGATTTAATCTCACCGCCGGCTGGAGATTTATGAAGGTCCGAGAGCGCGCCTATCCGGTTAAACATTCCCAAATAAAGTTTCCCCGGCGTGCTTGGAAATTCATTAGAATATCGCCGGGAAGTTGGGCACCGCGGCTTACGGTTTTCCATTTATTAAAACGCCGAGTATTACTCGGGGGGGTTTCCCCCCTCCGGGAACTTGGAATAATTTATTCGGAGAAGACCCCCGGAAAATCGTGCCAATTAGAAGTTTTCGAATAAATATTCCCTCGGAGTATCGACGAGGTGATCGATTAGCCGATTTAACGGTCGGCCCCGGAAAGTTGTTAACAATTTAAGCCCGAACACTTTTACGCAGTCCTCGAGGACCTGGCAAATAAACGAGGCCGTCGGCCGCGGTTTCTAACTATTCCGAACAAGTCCTCCAAGTACGAGGCATTCCCATTTTGAGTGGGGAACGATTTTCTCGCCGCCGCGGTTTCCCCCATTCCGACGTTTCCGAACTTCGATCTTTTATTCCGGCAGACACGTATGAAGCGCTACACCGTGCTAAATAAATATTTCCGTTAGCGTTATGTCGACAAAGCGTCTTTCTTTCTGCCACTCGCCGTCCCTGGCAGCCCGTCCTGTCCCGAGGAAAAGAATTACTTTTTAGAGAAAAGGAAGATCCTGTGACGAACAGACCTTTACGGAATATTATCATCAAACTAAGTCGACAGGTCGATGGCATAAAATGTCAAGCAATACTATTATTTATACCCTGATAACAATATACTAGCACCAAACTGGAACTGAACAAAACTACTAGTCTGTCTGACGGTTCTTCTCAAACCTCTGTCAGTTTCTGGTGAGATATGCATCGATATCGAACAATATCTATTCGCCGTTACTAATTTTCGTGTCGTACCAAATTTACCCAAAGAGTGATACCATTTTTCATTGTCATTATTTTCAGTATTTGAGACCGATTTCCCAGCTAGAATTCCATTCGCAAATCATCTCCACCTGACACTGAGTTGACAAAATTGCACTGATTCTTACATAATCATTTTTCAAAGTCCGTGATTTTGAGCGTTAAAATCACGAAGTAGTATAAGGAGATATAATGTCTTGTATCGAAATTGTCCCTACTTTAGGGGTCTAAGATCTTCAGATTTTTCTCCGATTTAATGCCGAGAGCACCTCCTCGATAAAATTTTGCAATAAATAATTATCATCCGCTAGTCTTTATAACGTTAAAAACATCACATTCTATATATCATGCGCGGAATGTCGTCTCGCATTGCGTACCTTAATTGAAAAATTGAAAGCATTTTAGGTGATTTACGTAGATAGGAAATGTTTTCGTCACGTAGAAATGGAGTTCTCTCATTTTCCGCACTACTGTGCTCACATCGTTAGATCATCCAAAATTTGAGATCCTGGATCCCGATTCACTTCCTGTGGAACCGACCATTGGCGTTATGTCTCCTTATACTACTTCACGGATAAAGTCCATGATTTCGAACGTTAAAATCCATAATTTCGAACGTTAAAATCCATAATTTCGAACGTTAAAATCCATATTTTCGAACGTTAAAATCCATAATTTCGAACGTTAAAATACATATTTTCGAACGTTAAAATCCATAATTTCGAACGTTAAAATCCATAATTTCCTGAACGAATACCCCCTCGGTCGTGAGTAATCTCGCCTAGGATGTAATTATTTCGCCGAACCCCAAATGACCTGCAGCAACGCGATCTGACCCGACCCTGTACGATGCAGCACCCAAGGTGCAACAACTGGAGTTGGCTCTAACGAGATGCGTCGATTCGCAGTGTGGTAACCGGCCTGGATACAGCATGCGGTTCTCGGGGCCGAGGAGTCAGACGATGCAGAGCGTGACCTCGGGTTCGAGGAGCAGCCCGACCCGGGCGGGTCGCGGTGAACCCAAGCACGCGAACGGCGAACCGCACTCGACGGCGGCCAGCCCCTCCGTCGAGGAGACCTCCGTCAGCTAGGTCGCTCTCATACACCTCCCCCCCTGTCCCGAGCACCCCGGCCCGGTCCACCAGGACAGGAGTCGCGGGACCGAGGGCGAGGTGTATGCCTCCGACGAGCGCCCCAAACTCGACACGGTGCCCGAGCTACCCGAGAGGGGCGACACCCCGAGCCCCCCCCATGAAGGACCGTCGCCTCCCCACGAAGAGCCAACCCAGGTGAGCACGCCCCCGAACGGCGAGAAATCCTCAGGTGAAAACTACAGGCGGACCGCGGTCACGCTATACGTTCCGGTATCAACGCACGGTGTGATGCCGGTATTGATGAGTGATGATTGATGATTGATAATGATGTTATGATCGGGCGAGCCCTTAGAATAGGGAGATTTCGGGACCTCTGATGTTTCGGAATTCTTGTGAAACTTGTATCGCCTAAATTTCTAAATAGTTCCAATAGACTTGAAAGGGTATTCTCTGGGATTGGGAGAAAATGAATTTTTAATGTATTTGGAGAAATAGGAGGGTAAAGTCAAAGGCTCCGTATGCCGAAGGTTAAGGGAGGGAACTTGAAAATTCGGGATCGTTTCCGGTCGTCAGTGGGCTGTAACTTCTAGACCACTCGAAGGTATCTCGGGTTTCCAATAATTGCCGGGTAACCGATAACTCGTCTGCATAATTCATCTCGACGATGTCGCTCCCGGAGGATTCCACCGCGGGCGATCGCGACGAGTTTGACTAATTTGGTCCAACTCGGTCCCCAGGCTCCCGAGTCGAAGGTCCAACAGGAGGAGATCCCCAGCATCTCGGGGAAGATCTCGGCCGCCGAGGAGGGTCGAGGCCCGAAGACGTCCGGCGTCCCCCCAACTTGCCCGGAGATGTCGTCTCAGTGAACTTGCCGAACTTTGGGGCTCGACGTCAGATTGGCATCGGTTTCGACGGACTCTTCGCGCGCGAGAAGGTTAACGAAGGGACTCCCGGAGGTCATCGACCTTATCGTCAAAAGCCGAAGACGTCGACGGCTCTTGCCGCCCCTAGGAGGATCCTGGAACTCCCTGCACATTGGGCACGATTCTCGGATAAGGATTCTCGAAATTCGAAAAGGAGAGCTCCGCGGTTCGTCAGGATCCTCCACTGAAAGCTCGGATCTGCCGAAAAGATCCCCCTTTTCTCTCTCGCGGAGAACGGTGGCGCTAAAGCGGAATCGTGGAAATGCGGGCGTTTTCCTCGATTAAGGTGAATCCACCCAGAGGCCGGTCAGGGGGTTTTCAGAAATTCTTAAGTAGAGGAGAGAAACAAAAAAAACGTAAAGGAGTAAAGAAAAAGAGTCTTCCATACGCCAGCGTGCTTCTGAGGAGCCAGCTACAGCGCCCACGCGATGCGGGGTCTGCAGAATGGATGCAAACGTCGTTTTCCACTTTTCCCCCTCAAGTTTCCTTTATTTTTCCCCACCGAGAGCCGTTCGGCCGAACGATCGCTAGGATGCTATGACGTACCGAGTGGTTTCTAGACACATACGTGCCGATCCGTGGTCGCGAATTCGGGATTAGCGAACGCGAGTTCGAGCAGTCCGGAACTTCCCAGCTTCCGAGTTCATCTCGACGTTTATCGAGATAGGTTCGCCAAACATCGCCACACTAAGACATTACCCTTTAACACTGTGAAATTAATTTCTAACGTTCCCGTACTTAATCACGTAATCAATATGCGTGTCTACGGTACTAATGGGTAGAAAATAAACTGCATAAATGTGAAGAGGATGGTAATTCACATTAAAAAAAAATTCTCAAATTGGCATTATTTTGAACGAACATATTCTGTTTCTTGGGAACGAATAACAACGACGGAACAACAGACCATAACAGAATAACATTTAACGGTTGAACGCTCGGTACGGTCTAGAGACAAAAGACATTCCCATTGTCCGGGAATTTCATCTGCGCATGGAAACTTAGTGGCTCGTTATTTCGCGTTAATTAACCGTTATCAAAGTAACGGCTCATTAAATAGGAGTTCCTATCACCGATTCCATTGTTGATTCAAGACTTGGTGCGCCATTAAGCGCTTGAATACGGAACGACCGCTTTGTGCGATGTCGCGAGAAGACGCTAGAAGACATTGGGAGGCTCTTCCTTGTTTAAAGGCTGTTTTTAAGCGTCTCGATATTCCCTCGCCTGTCTCGAATTACCGGATATCGAATGATAATAAAATTCGACCGGGTGTAGGTGAAGCTCGGATGCAAGGGGGTGTACCAAAGCATCATGTACCCGCCATGACGTCACGAGTGATGCGTTATACAACGTGATTCGTGGACCGGTATCGATGTCCGAACCATTATAAAGCTCTCTCTGGAAATCCTATCCCATCCCTTGTGTAAGTATCCGTCGTCTGTCCATCTCGAGGGTAAACACGGGCGACGACACTCCGAGAAACCACCCTAGCTTCCGCAAACGATTTCCGCCGATTTTCCACCCACCGGTGAATCCGGAAGCGACGTTTGAACCGCTCTCTAGACCGACACGTAATTACCATGAAGTAGTATAAGAAGACCTAACATCTATGGTCGGTTCCATAAAAAATGACTCCAGAATCCAGACCCAGGATCTCAGATTTTCGATGATCTAACTATGTAAGCGCTACTTGTAAAAAATTAAGGAACTCCACTCCTACGTGACCAAAACATTTCCTACCGACATACATTGCCTAAAATGCTTTTAATCGTGCAATTAAGGTACGCAATGCGAGACGATAATCCGCGCATGATAAACAGAACGTGATGTTTTTAACGTTAAGAAGACTAGCGGATGATAATTTTTAATTGGAAAATTTCATCGGAGACGCTCTTGACTCTAGATCGGAAAAATCTGAAGATCTTGGACCCCTAAAGTGGGGACGATTTCGATACAAGGCGTTGTATCTCCTTTCATTACTTCGTGGTAATTACGTATATGCGCTGATTGTCGCGCATTTTGGCGCTTTTCCTCGTTACTTGGGTCCGCGACAAAGGCACCGCAAAGACTCCAAGTTTTGAGCGCAATTATTGGCCGCGACACGTTCTCACATCGATGACGTTTCAATTCATCGATCCGCTGATTAATCGGTCTGATCTATGAACATGAATCTCTTAATATCGTGATCGCAATCGATAAAATGATCGCTTGGGCCTGCAATTCTCTCAGCCAGGAATTATTCGGTCCTAATTTCCCGGTCCTTCGAAATTCATGGAGAAAATGGAGCCACGCGGGCGAAGAATCGCTCTCAGAACCCATTTAAATGGAAATAAACTGTCCTTGGTAGCTGTAAAAAAGCTCGAGTCTTTGTGAGAGTCTTTTGTCGGGGTTTCCACTTTTTATCCACGTCTGGCCGAACTCCTCGGCTTTGCGAGAGACGAGTAATGTTAAGAATATAACCGTGTTCGTTCCTATGGGAAGTACACACCGACTGCAATTTTTTACCGCGGTTTCTATTAATGATGCATCGGTAGATTAAGACCTCGCATTGTGTTAGGTCAGTGCTGATTTTGCCAATTCCTTAGCCGCTCCGTGACGTACGATTCCGATCGTTGTTCTCTACGGAATAAGCGATGCTCTCGTTATGCACGATGTTCAAGTTCCGGTATAAATAATTGGCGAACGGTGGAACATATCGAGACTTGCACGCTGCCACGTCAAAAGATGCAGTTCGCGAAACGAACGACCGAGATACATAAAAGCCACGTTAATCAAAATAATCGCCCAGATAGTACGAATCCACGCATTCCTCGTTCATTGGCGTGAAACGTCAATGTCGATTAATTAAAAGGAGGAAGAAAGAGAAATTTATGTAAGTTAACTTGCGGCACAACACGAATTGCTAGGTAAGAGTCTTAAGATAGATCTTATGCTCGATATTTATAGAGGTATATGAGATAGACATTCCAAGATTTGATTAATCACGTTTAACTTAGTTACTGCCGAGAAATATCGCGTCTCCGTTACCATAGATTACGAAAGGACGTTATGTAAATTTGAAAGAATTTTATCATGTGTAAGTGTTAACATTTGAATATATTACTGAGTAGGTGGGAAGATAGTTAATTAATTCACCGGTGAATTAGAGAGTGAGACGGATCCTCCTTTGCATATTCGGGAGAAAAAGAGGGAAAAAGGACAACGCGGAAAGCGGGGTTATGAAATTAATGTTAAGGCCTATTAACGACTAATAGACATGTAACTAAGCAGTTAAGCTTCAAATACCTTTGAGGAAAAGAAAGGAACTCTCTGTAGGATAAGTCGAAATGTTCTTGCGCGTGGAAATTAGTTTCATGACCGCCGATCAATTTCGCCGAATGGGAATGAATATTAAATTATAACTACAATGACAAAGCTGGACGCTGGTGTGCTCAGCTTTGATGGTTCATTCGAATCAATCTTTAAAGTTAAAAGCTCGTTTATATTTACAAACTGGAAGGGTCAAACAATTCGGAGGATTGTCCTATAAATTAGTCCTCAGCCGGTTCTTTGGATCGCCAGTTTGTACATTGATATGTAATCGATAATTTGTACAGAGTTTACGGTGTAAGTCGATATTGATTTTATATCGTAAATTAAGGAACGATCCCCAATTCCTACTTCCTCATAAATGTAGTATAATTTAAAAACCTTTAGCATAATTTTCCTTCGAGTTTAATTCATACTCTGAAGCCACGTGCAATAGACTTGGCAAATCTACCTCTTATGTGCCAATCATTAAACCAAAGAATGTAAGGTAAGGACTTTCTTAGTCAACGACATTTACTTTTCCTTTTCGATGTTAATTTTACATTGCGCGTAGCCATTATTATTTCAATTTTATCGAAATGTGCCATTTTTAAAAAGACCTACTGGAAACGCTTCAAACTCAATTACCATGACAATGAGGGATCAATTTTACTTGTTTATACCGTTACTGTAAAGCTCGAGAATCAACATCACTCTGTTAATACAATCAAAGAATATAAACACTGATATACACAACGTGTAATGATTAATTGTTGTCTAACGATGTCAAAAAAAAAGTAGTCTGTGGATGTTGCCCTAAATTCTTTTCGCATCTGGAATTGTTTAAAATGGCAGAAATAGGCATACTTGTATATCATATGATAAATTAATGAAAGAATATTGTATATATCATTTGGGGATAAACGACTATTATTATTACCCCACAGTGACCCTTGTCTAAAATTAATTAAATTCATTTGAAATGGTTGCGAGATTGCAGCCCGCACACGATGCATCCACATATTCATCGATATTGTTAGAAAAATGCGCCGTGCATTTTTATAGCCCACATAGCAATAAAGCAATATCAACATAAATATTACTACGCGTTGCAAAAAAGATAATATTATTTTACGCCATATGTAAGACCCGAACAGAACATTGTACGCATTTTAACAATGTGTATGGCTATGCAAAATTTAGAAGTGGCTTCATTGACTCTATGTGGTCACTTTGAAAAAAAAAAAATCTTGTCACCGACGTGTGATAATAGACTGCTATATGGAGGCTTAGGATTAATCACATCATCGTTAGAATTCTTTTCTAAAACTAGTTTCAGTTCTGCAATTATCACTGTGTCTAATTAACAACTATTAGTGGTCTATTTTCTACATAAACGTAAAAATGACATAAGGACGTCATATTGTAATAAGAGCATATACTTCCCAACGCGATAATAATGAAAACTAACCAGAATGGATGCTCCTTGTAAATAAAATAACTACGTGAAAAGTACCGCCAGATACTTGTAATCTGGCCCCGAACAAAACGAAGCATCTAAATTGTTAAGTGCACAAGCGGTCTCACTAATAACATGTATGTAACATTTAATGCACAACAATAATGTGCATTATCGCAACCTCGATCTGCGAGAAACGAGCCTTTAACTTAAGGATTTGCTCTTTGTAAATATTACCGAATTGTTTCTTCGTAAATAAGTAGCACAAGGTCCTAAGCAAAGGTCCACTGAACGTATAGAATAAGTTTCGGATAAATTTAGAATAAGCTGCGATCTTCTGAAGATGCTAAGGAAATAATAATCTTAATATCAGAAACTGGACGTGAATAAATTTTGTACATAATGGCGAAAGAAACTCGATGTTACTCGTATACATAAACTACATGATAAAATACTCTTACGAGTAGTACAAAGAGCCATTTCTTTTTACCGATGTTAATAACTTATTTTTTGTTTTAAGTAAAATTAATAGATACCTGTAGATTTTAATATCGTAATTTTAATTGCTGCAAAATATTTTCAACTTTGTATTACTGGTATTGCATCGTTACATGGACACATAACACTACATACAACCGGTTGGGGAAATGGAAAATATTGTATATTTCGTACCAATATTATCGTACAAATATAAAATATATTACTGGATAGCGCGATTATTCATACACTTATGTTCATGAATCCACGTATGGACTCTTCGTACTACTTTCGAGTGATAACGATATAGATAAGAATTTCGCAGACTGTCACAAAATTTATTGTTCCACAGTGCGAAAACGGATTAATTGGTTTTTAATTATGAGTACACGTGTGCCAGCGATTTAAGGCACTCGAATAGATTTACTCGAATGAATTGACATTCGTATAGCCGCTCTGCGCAAAATGTGTCAACATTGAAATACTTTGTTAGAATTGTATTTATACGGTAGAATAAGAGTAGGGTCCATTCAGTTCGAGAGTCTAGGATCTATCGTGCACTACTACCCGTTAAATAAGATTTTATATATGTAAATATAAATTATACCGATGTTAAGAGTTGTAAGGTCGGATATTCGAACATTAGACTGTTAAATATTTGAGTCGATACTGAAATTTCTAATACGCCTATATCGAAGTGTTAAGAAAATTTCGTTTCTTCTTTTTAACGAATAGCTTGTTCGCCTCTCGACTGTCATTTTGTGCGGTATCGGAAATGCGTTAAACATAGTCCTTTTATTTTGCGTATAATTAGACATTATGTTTAAAAAGTGTCAGTCCACTTAGCACCCGAGGACCATTTCGTACTTTGTGGGTGTAATAAAAAGACTTAGTCGAGTAAATAGAATTATAAAAAGGCATGGCATGAATGATCGTTTATTCGAGATAACTAAAGCTCTAGGTGCTTAATCGTCAGAGAATACTAAAATTGTCAGTCAATTACTTCGTGTCTTGGACGAACTGTGAAGTCCAAGAGTCACGCAAAATGTTCCACTGAGATGAGGACACACAAGGTTCTTATTAATTACTCGATCACTGCATTAAGAATAATTGTCCAGTCAGTTACAAAAACGAGATATCGACTTTTCGACTGCTACGCAGAGTAGCTGTTTTACGAACTCTCCTAAAACGATATGCCCATCTATATCGGCTATTAATGTACTTGAAATTAAAGACAGCAATGAATCGCGACAATCCTAATCTCGTACCGATCGCGTCACCTCGAGACACTCCATACACTTTTTATTCCACCTACTATTAAATTAATACTCACTAAAACGAGGACCCTGATCAGCTTCATCTTGAATTTCGAATGTTTTTCATTACACCGCATATTATATGTTTAATATATTCTATAATAAATGTTGTCAAGAAAAATGTCAGTCCTTTCAATACCTTATACCTTGTTGCGACTCAGTCGGACCGTGCAGTGTAATAATTACAAATGATCAGATTTTGTAAAAATATATATTGCAATAACAGATTATTTACAGAGATTACGGTTTACTGTATCGCACCCGTTGGCGATCCTGATGATCGCAATATTCGGTGAAAATTAATTTACAGAGAAACAGGTGGAATACAATGATCAGAAAACATATGCTTACCCAGAAGAAGGTGGGTAGCCCACCAAGCTGATGACCGTGCTTGTGTAATGCCATCACGAGATGATCATGAGCTGGAGCTGTTAAATAATCAAATGAACTTCAAAATGTTCGTTTTGCTACTAATATAATCTTCTAATTCAAGAAATTTAATAAAATGTACCTTCGTCAACGGCATGAACATGCAACGCGTTTCGCAAGTCCTGCATATGCTGCTGATCAGATGTAATATATAGAATGGCAGTCAACGGTTTCGTAAGCTTTACAGGAAATGATTTATAGGATTGACTCAACGGAATTGGAGCATCCAAGCAGCCTGCATCACATCCATAGTAAGTGCTATCGCTACGATCCAATGCAACCCTTAGAACCGCACGATTATCTTCCCCAACTATTACGGATATATTAACATGGGTAACGTTTCCATAACTTATTCGTCTGTAAAACACGTTTTCCTTTCCGTTAAATTGCACTTAAATGAAAATAAATTAAGTCTCGATGAGTCGGATGCCTTAAACTAGACTCTCTTTTTAAAAAAATAAGATCTTGTTCTATTGATACCTGAATAAATAATCTCGATGTAGGTATTGAGGATCAATATTGAACTCGAGATGTTGATTGCTAAATCTTAATCCGCCAAGGCTAAGAACTATAGCTTGTTGCACTGCGGAAGGGCTACCTGTCATGAGATGATGACAGCCCTGTTTTTCCAAAGTTATCATCCATGCTCTGACTATCTCATTAACTCCATCTATTGACGAGGTATCTTTCCATAGTTTTGGTGCATCTCTAGTGGAGAAAAATCAAGTATTGTTACGGTGCCTATCAAAATCCTAACTCCGGAAATCCTTCTAAGGAGAAGAAAAAGGTAACGCACATGAAATTTACTCGACATTGCCCTATGAAACTCACAAATTGTGATGACCGCGAAAGCAGCCTTCATTATTAGCAACACTCTTCTCGATGTCTGGAATACCATTTGGTACTTGCGACAGAACGTAATACATTGTTGAGTTAATCTTGTGCCCATTGATGGCATCCTTTGCTTTTGAGTCACTTATACTAAATCCTGTATGCCAATAATTCTGCCAAATATGTACATGCCCATCCTTCAACCCTTGCTGCTGACGCAGTAAAGCCTTCTTCATTATCTGCCAGCACAGAAATATAAAATGGTAACAAAGTGTTTTTAAATATTACTATACATTAAAATACTAATGCCATGATTAATTTAAGTTCAATCAAAAACTAAAAACTTCTCTAACCTCTATAGCTTTCTTTTGAGTAGCATCACGTTCACTGTGATACTGCCCCGAGGATACTGGATCGCTATATCGTATACTTGTAAGAATTTCAAATTTCATTGTACTTCTGGGTTTAACTTGCATTATTTTTGGTGGCACATTATAAACCACAGACACTACTATTACTTTATCAGATTCGGGTAAAGAAACATATCCCGAAGTCAAACTATATTCATTACTCGTTCCATCTACCTCAATTCTAAATCAAAGTACGTGAGATTAATAAATATTATGTTCGAATGTGTAGTGTACTATGCTACAGAGTAGAATATAAGTAGAATACTGACTTAATGGATTCAGTATGTGAATCAGGCCAGAATGCAGATGTTTGAGTTTTTAAGGGCACTTCATGAGTGAGACCAGAAGGATTGGCAATTTTTATACTCTGTACGAGTAAGCTGTCGAAAGCTCTATGTACGTAATACTGAGAATCCACATGGTAACCTTCCCTAAGGCACTGAAACTTATGAACAATCCCTGTGGTATATTGAGTTACGGTAGCTTCACGGTAAAGGCTACCTTCCGACATTGGATAGGAAACTAGTGGCTGCCATCGTACAGGCAGTGATAAGGTGCGCCCATGTTTAATATATAACCATCCTTCCGGTGAAACTGGTACTCCCAATATTCCATTACCAACATAGGGTAAATAATTATGTTCATCTTCTTTAGGTGGTTCATGAAGAATATTTGCACTATAATCGATGGTGTCAAAGTAAAAGCTGGCTAATCTCTCACCGATACAACGATCTTCAAAGGCTACGTGAAAAAATTTCACATTAAACTACTTAACTAACGTAACCTTTACTAAGGTACACTCTTATCTACTCCGATTTAGAACTCTATAAACTCACCTTCGAGAGATTCCCTGTTACTAGAGAAAAGCCACTGAGCAAATGGAGGACCAAAATATAAGAGAGCTCCACCGCAGATGACAAGCAATAGAAGTAACTTGCGGTAAGAGTAATTACCGTCCAATAATCGCCTTATTCGCTTGCCAAATTCATGAGCATCCAGCATGCCACTACCTCTCATCGCGTGGAGAATATTTCACGGTTATATTGACGATTTTTCGTACTCTTGAACAGATCCTGTTTGACAGTAAACATAACCTCTACGGAGCGACGAATCCTCCTAACCTATCGAATGACACTCGATCCAGTGGCTCAAGACTCGATACCGCTCGGGAAAATAAAACGTTTTTACTCGAATTCATTAACTTGCTAATTACTCGCTAACATTTTAGCTTCATAAACAGCCGGTCTACAAATCGACACCTACACGACACAACTCAGATAAGTTCAGATAAGTTTTGAAGTAGTTTGAAGAAACTTTCTACAGAGATGAATTGAAAGATTGTTCACGGGTTGGGTCGAGCGATCGCATTCTATGCTGCACTCGGTGCAGAATGCAGGCGGCTCGTGCACTTGCCACCTGATACATTCCAATAGCGGCCCATTTCAAAAATCCTCCTTATCTCTACTCTCAACTCATCCTTGAGTTGGGCCGCCATTGAGGGGTATCAGGTGGCAAATGCGCGATCACACGACCCTGCCAGTAAGCAATATTCCAACTCATCTCTGTAATAACAAACACCCTTTAACATCTTTTACCAACAAGTCCAGCAAACTCTACGACGATGAAAATGATGCCTTGAAATGACGACTTGAAAAAAAAAAAGTGTATCCTATTAAGTGATCCACCTAACCTGGAAAAGGGCACAAAAGGACAGGCAAAACAGAACATTAACAAAAAATCCAGGAAGTATGAGATTAGACAGTGAATAAGTTACTAAAATTCAAGAATATTAATGGTACATACATCGATCCCGTTAAATATACTGAACTGGTATTTTTCGTATCACTAAGTAAGCAAAAATCCATTTAAATACAGACTCGACAAAATATAATCAAAATGATTGTTCGCTGTCTCTTCCCCGTCAATCCTGACAAAATGATATACAAAAAATGAGAGGGACAACGTGGCCAAAAAAATGGATGACTATCCGTTCGAAAGAACGGAAGGCCATCGTAGTTGCCCTCTTCTTAAGGGGCCGCTTCGGCATATAGCCTCTTCGACACTTGTAGTCTCTTCGGGCAGAGCCCCCTACGTCTCGAACGCTTAGAAATCCCCTGATTTTGCGAATTTGAAAAAAAAAAATTACTCCGCGAGCAGATTCAAAAGCTAGCAAAACGACGACCTGCGATCCGAGGATGCGCAGTCCGTGCGTATTGCACAATTATCCGGATTCCCAAGCGCGGTCTAATTAATTTGCATCCCTGAAAGAAACTTATCACGATCGCGGGTGTCCGGGAGTACGCTGAGCGAATAATTCACTTTCCAGACTAAAATGAATGACTCGCGGCAATTTAGACGTTTCCTGCTAAAGAAATTTCTCGGCTCCAGTAAAATTCTTTTTTTTTTTGTAAAGTTATTTTTTTCTCTCAGCGTAGAACCCCGGGCGCAGGACGGACATCCTCCGCGCTTTCGGAAGCGCGAACGATGTAAAAATATAGTATATATAAGTACCCAGGTTCGGGATCTCTCCCCAAACCCCAAGGAAGAGATTTCGCCCTGGCCCTGCCTACTTACATCTAGACATTCACTCCAGGCAATTAGCCTACCTCCCTAGATATATTAAAAAAATTAACCTCACTCATTCCATCACACTCACTCCACGATTCTCTCTCATTCCACCCGGGGACAAATAGCCTAATCTAGGGAGGACATCCCGGGATGCCTCCGACCCCCGAGCTCAAATCTCTCGCATACATCTTTCATCGGCTGCCATCCTTAATCGAATTTAAAAAAATTAAATGCATAGGTGCAATTGGAATCAAGATGGCAACCGAAAGAACTTACAAAATTATTTTACCGCGCCCTCTGGCCCTGAACCGTTCGACTGTCTCCTGGAGGAGTCGAAGGGCGGGGGCCAGGAAGGAACGCGACCACAAGAAAAGACACCTACCGTTGCCGATGCTGAAAGAATTCTAACTAAATTAATTTTTATAGCGCTAAATCGATCTACGGATTCTACTCGACATCGGTAATTCATAATTTTCATAAGATCGAAAGGCCAAGTCCAGCTCGCACTACGGCCCCAGGGTAGTGGAAGGCTTGGCCGAAAAAACCTGCAAACCCTGAAACCGACCCCCTCGTCGAGGCGGCGACTCTTGGACGCAGGCACATCGAAATGCCCCCTCGACTCGGGTGTGGCTCCTCGCGAGATATTTCTCCCACATCTTTTTAAATTTTTTTTTATTTAATTATTCGAAGAAATTCCGCGGAACCGGCGGCCCCGAAGTCGGAGGGTCATCCGACTTCCCGGCGCTCGATTAAGGATCGCGATCGGAAAATTACCGCGGACCCGGGAGAAATCTATTCCTACTCTAAAAGAACACAGGAAAAACATAGAAAATCAACACGACCACTCGCGAGTCGGCGAGAGATCGTCTCGTCGGCTCGCGGTCCCTCGCATCAAAATGTAAACATACAACCGGCCTCCGTGCCGGTACGGACCTTTTGTCCTGCGGCATGAGGAGGCCGGAGGAAGGTGAAATTCCGACTCACCAACGGGACGATTCGTCTTCTTCGTGCCGTTCACCCCCAGGAGATCCCTCCTGAAGGAGACCTGGGGGTTTCAAGCCTCGGCTCCATCTCCACCTCCGTCCCGATGATGGAATTGGCTGCATGCTTCTACTGCCTTCGTAGAATTCCTCTTCTTTCGCTGAACGATATTTAGTCCACGGCACTCGCGGACCGTGATCACTGTCGCGTCCTAACCTCATTGTCAATATAAATTTCGATCGTGGTATGCAATACGTCCTTCGCGCCCCCCGCCATATTCTTAATTTTTGTCGACATCTTATCGCGGCAAATTTTCAGGGGCAACTGCAGGGGGCTGACACTCGCTTGCTATTCTTCGAGACTAGTGTTTGTAGCGACCTCTGGATCAATAGTACCGGAAGTATGAACTAGCAAATTTCCCGCCATAAATATAAATTGAATGACATTCAGAAACTGTTATTTAAGAAAAAATGATCTAATATTACTGTAAATTCTGCAGTTAATAAGGTTAGGTAACTTATTAGCTTCAAATCTCACAGATATAATAATTTCTTTGAAATTCTAACTTTATATTTTAGTTATAATCATTTCTTATCAATTATAAATTTTAAGTTAATGTAATATGATTTGAAATCATTATTTTCAGATCGATCGGGTTCGTAATATGAACAAATATGAATAATAATGAGATAAATTAAACATTTTTCTTTTATAATAATCTATGAGTTTCAAAGAAACATAACCCATAGTAATGTCATTTACATTCTACTCACCACGTTACATATATCTATATATGTACATGAATATACCATCCTACGGTGTTTCGTTGTATTTCTATTCGATGATAACGATAATAATTTGTAGCAACCTTAAAATATATTTACAAAATCAATACGTTATTGGCCACGAAATGAGAATTAATTTTCCTTCTTTTGTAATAAGGAACGCATTGAATGTCTTGGGTTTCTATCGTACAGAAATAAAAATCACACTTTTTCTAGTAATTATTTATTGTTAAAGTTTGTTACATTTTCTATTATTAAAGCTATTATCGCTATTACAGGTTATTTCAAAATTTGATGATTAAAACGTATAAAAATTTTAAATAAACAGAAGAAGGTAGGTTGAGTAGAAGGTAAAAAATGAAAATCATAGATGTCACCAGGGTACTACAGGATTCTGAAGAAATAATACAGATGTCACTGGTTAATGAGTAACGCGCAAGCGCAAAATTAGTTCTTCACTTCCGTCTACTAGGCCAGATGGCGCTGCAAACACCATCTAATTTCTCCCATTAGAGTGTCACCCCCCTGGGCAACTGACGATCCGCCGGCCGGGCCGCAATCCCCGGCCGTGACCGACTCCGTGATTGGACGGCGTCACCGGCCCGATAAAGGACCGTGATTGGTCGATCCTTTATCGGACCGGTGACGGTGATCTCCCAACTCATCTCTGTTCAAGTTCCCCGCGCGTCGGCATGGAAATGCGCACGCCCCCCCTCCGACATCTATGGAATCTCCTCTGAACCTCTTCATGAATGAGAATGCCGTCGGTCATTGAAATATATTTCGCGTCGCGTTGGTTTAAATTTGAAACGTTGCACGCAATACATTCCTCATGTTCCTTTCTATTCTCTCGACTGCTCACGGCGTCTTATCATGGGGACTTCTCTAGGGCAACTGCCGGTCCGTCGGTCCTGACCGCAATCCGGCTCTCGGATTGGGAAAAACCCACAGACCAAGTACAATGAAGGGACATAAAATATGATAATTAAAAATATATAAATTTATTATCTATGACAGTAACAATTAAATATTAAATAAATTATTCCAAGAGTGTAAAATAACTGTAAAGGAATCTGGAATATTGCAACTATTTCTCTGATCATGGCCTAATTTGGAGACAATGATTAAACATAATAATAATTATTCTCAGATGTGTTTAATTATGTGTTGTATTCGCTCGCTGTAAGTCACTGGAATGTCTTGCATGATTCATCATAGATTCAACTCTATTTGCCGTTTCTCTAACAACATCAGATATCTCATCGGGTAAATGATCTAATGTAGGAATATGTGCTGATAGTCTTTTGTACACCGAGTCTCTGTTTCCTTCCTTTTTATGCCGCCTTTGCTCTTCGTACTTTAGTTGTTGCTTGAAAAAGATTGCATTTTTCAAAAGCTCTAAGGTATTATTGAAACTCTTTTCTGCACCCTGAATATTTTGTACAGCAGCCACTGCATACTCTACATCATAGCAACGACCCTGTAGTTGTTGTCGAAGCCCGAGTACCTCGACCCGCTTTTCTACCATGGGAGGCAAAGCTTTCCTCACATGTTCTTGTAAACGATAAAATGCCAACGATGGCTCATTAGCTACAATGTGCATATTTTCCGATATACGTTCAGTAGCTGTAAAAAATTTACTTCTTACAGTTTATAGCATTATTAATTCTTGCTCTCATTGGACATATAACCTACCTTTTTTGACTTTTGTTTCAAGTTCTTGATCTGGTAGATATACCTTCGCGGACATGACTAGTTGAAGATATTACACAATCTTACCAAATAATTACAGTAAACAATGATGCACTCTTTTATTGTTGCTTATTACATTATAACGATCAAAGAGAGTCATTGATAACGATTGTACGAAAGAGATGCATTGACAATGGCATACATGATGTGTCACTGCATGCGATTTTCAGATAACCAACGGAGTTACTCGGTAACCTTCACTTTGTCCAACTGCAATGGACTTCTCTAAACACCTGGATTCATCGGCTGAGTTACAAATCACATGTACCGGGAAATTATGGCGGGATCGAGTAACGTGTTAAATATAATTGGATTTGTACTTTGTATAGCTGTTATTAACAAGGAGAATATTATCAGCGGTCATAGATTAAATGTACCGAGAGTTTTACTCCCAATTTTTAATGACTTTCCGATTAATTTCACACTCGAGGTTACAGAAGAAGGATGCTATCAATGGTAATTTTGTCCAGTCATTTTCCTTCAATGATTTGCTTATTTATAAATGAAAGACATCTAAAAGCATGCAGCATACAATTATTTATATTTCATTAGTTATACAAACGATAATGTTTCAAAACATACTATCCTTATTTAACTTGGCTCATCATAACCTCAATTCGTTTTATGTTCATTTTTAAAATTCGAGAACTAATTATTTGCAGGTCTACATCACGGTCAGACATTGTTCAGTTACTCCCTTTCAACGAAAATGCAGAACATACTTGCTCATCTTCAGTCCTGGTACAGACTGTGACAAAGGATTCTACTCGGAATACTGCTATTGTATTAGCTGAGGATATTAATACTGGACAGCTACTACGGTGCGATGTTATTGTAGATGCAATATTTTCTCTTAAAATTGTTACTACAACGCGGGAGTTATTTATTGAAGAAGCACCGGAGGCATTTGAAGTGAGAGCATATGATGAACAAGGTAGGTATTTATAATAAATATCTATATATTCTTCAGATACAAGAATGTGCAATTCTTCTGTGAATTCTAGGAAATGAGTTTACAACATTGGCGGGCGTGGAATTTACATGGTCTATCAATAATATCGATAAGCGAGGATTAATGACAGATAACAAATCATTGAATAACGTTTTACGATTTATGACTTTCCAAGAATCACCTTACGAAACACCTACCACCATCTCTGCACTTGATTTAAGTGGCAAGAGGGGGCATATTGCTCTTTTAGAGGGAATTCGAACTGGCACTGCAAAGGTATTCTTTAATTAATTATTTAGTAAATAATGCAATTACATACTAAAATGTTCAATATATTTTTAGGTGTCGGTCAAATTACCTCATACGGAATATAGGCATATACCTCCAGATGAAGTAGAACTTATTGTAGTTGCTAATCTAATAATACTGCCATCCGATGTAACAATGATGACGTTTGATTGTTTTAAATATAAAATAATGCAGGTAATTATAAGCAAAATAAAATGTATTATTTTATTTAGCTTCATTAGCAAGTTGCACATTGAAAATATATAGTGTTTAACGCAAGTGCCTTTCAGATATTAATTTTTCTGATTTTATTATTTCATAGGTTCAACAAGGTCGATTAGAAAATATAATTCTTCCCTCTAGTCAGTACTACTTAGAAGCCGAAATTCCTGAAATGTTGGAAATAAGTGATAACGATGGTAGTACTTATGCCCTGGCTAAAGGAAAAACTAAAGTTTTCTTAAATGACAGAAATGTATATGAAGAGTATGGTGTTATTTTGCCATCTGCAACAGTTCATGTTAACGATGTAGCATATATAAGAATTGCAGTTTTGCCAAACAGAAATTGGGCACTTATTGTAGGACAACCTCATGAAATTATTGTAGAACTGTTCGACGAGTAAGTACAATACGTTTGTTAGTGATAAGTTTATAATCGAATACTAACCATCACACAAATAATAAAAATTTCAGCAAGGATCACAAATTTCATATTGGTGAAGGAGTTGAAGTAAATATGGAATTTGAAAAGCAATACATAGATACTAAATTTATAACACAAAATGGTACTTATACAATTGGTGTACCATTGATGCCTGGAACAACACTGGTTGAGGCTACATTATACGGTGTAATTGACAAGCAAGGCAGGCGAATAAACATTTCTCCTCATCTTACTGCAAGAGCAGAATTTATAATACACCATCCAGTTGTTGTTCATCCTCACGTTTTGGCAGTTCCTTGGGATGTTAAGAGTAAATCACAGTAAGAACTTTATTTAACAATTATTCACGAGGTACAAGTTTCATCCAAAAAATTTAATAATACTTTTCAATCTAGGTATGATGCTTCTTTAAAAGCTAGTGGAGGAGACGGTTCGTACACATGGAGTAGTCGAAATCCGTCTATAGTAGCAGTCACACAAAGTGGAATTATAAGAACTTTACAGAAAGGTTCAACAGAGGTAATAGTCTCAATGACTCGAAACCGATACAACAGAGACATGACTAAACTACATGTGTTACCACCATCCAAACTAGAAATTATACGATACAGCATGGAAGGTGCTGTAGGTGAACCGATACATATACACATTGCATTGTATGGTAGCATAGTCAATGGAGCAGAAACTAAAGAGATACCGTTTAATGATTGTAAAAATATACCTTTCGAAGTGTATATTTCGGAAGATAATTTCGTACAGAATCGTGAAATCGGTGAAATACAACCTGTTGGCATTGCTTGTGCAACTATTACAGTTGTTGCTACAAACGTTGGAACGTCCGGTATAACCATAGCATATAATGCACAACCTCAATATTTAATGGATAACATTACCATAATGGCTTACGAGCCTTTGAAGGCAGTTCACCCAGTTAGTGCAGAAACTTTGCTTGCTGTGGGAACTTCAAGAAAAATAGTGTTCAGCGGTGGACCGTATCCATGGCCAGGAAAGTCACAGGGTTATACCAGAGAATTAAGAAATAGCAATGAAAAACTAGTTGAAACTATGAAATACCAAAGTTCAGAGACAAGTTCTGATATTGCTATATTCGATGTCATATGTAAAGCATTGGGTGAGGTGACCTTAACATTCACTGTATGGAACACTCCATTATTACCTAATTGTATGGGAACCGAAGCATCTGCTGTTGTACGAGTGATTTGTGGCAAACCAAGGTATATTTATTTACAACCGGAATTTAAAGATGGCAGTAACTGCCCTATTGGCCAAAACGCAGATAGAATAATGGCTCATGGGAACACAGACCTAGAATTAACAGTCGTAGTTAAAGATGAAGACGGAAGACATTTTGACAACATTACCAGCCTTTATATAGAATGGGATTTAATCCCTTCAACTGCCAGTAATGTCGAAGCATCAAATGGGGCGATTGAAGAGACATTTACCGATATGTATGTTCAGTTGCCAAAGAGACACTTTCAACGCATTATACCCAGAAGACATACTGGATCATTAACGGTACATGCCAAAGTTACAGGATACCAGATGAAAATTCTTAAGAAATTAAAACTTTCATCTGAATGGCCACTGTTTCCTATCGAAACACCAGATGGTGCGTTAATCACTCCATTGATAGAAGCTTCTGTGAATATTATTTTAGTAAATGATACAGTAATTACTCCAAATGCGTTGACCATTCTGAATGATCCCAATGGAAAGTACAGTTTACAAGTTAGTCAGGGTTCAGGGTACTATGAATTTGTTTTGAGTTCTGATGACATAGCTGATGTTCGATATATTGAGCCAACAAAAACCATAAGCATTGTTCCTAAAAAATCTGGCAGTCTGCACATTGCTTTAGTAGATCTTTGCCTCGTTTCAAACCCTGCAGAGGCCATAATTGAGGTGCAACAGCTGACCAGTATAGAAGTGGAAGCTGTTAATAAAGTCGAAAAGGGCAAATGCATCTCTTTGGCTTTGAAGTTCTATGATACAAATGGAAATATTATACAGTTGCCTTCAGTAGACGCCTTACAGATTAAAGTGGAGATTGAAAATGGACATATTGACATAAAAAAATTACCACTTAGCGAGCAAGGTAGTCAACCTCTTGATGAAATACGTTACACCATCTATGGAGTAGAAGAGGGCGAAGCCCGTGTGACATTTAGTAGTGGCGAAGATGATCAGGAAATACGAAGCGAACCCTTCGTGGTGCAAGTTATCCTTCCCTTGAAAGTATCCCCGAAGAATATAACTGCATTAGTCAGTACTATTTATCAAATTGCTACGACTGGAGGTCCTACTGATGCAGAAATAGAATTCATTGCTGAAAATGACGAAATTGTAAATGTTGATCAGTATGGCCTTTTTGAAGGAAAATCGATTGGCCAGTCTCGTATCATAGTCAGAGCGGTGGGCTTTAACATGCAAGGAAATAAAATAGTGTATTCACAGGACTATGCCGAGGTTCATGTAATATATTTAGATGGAATCAAAATAGTCGTCCCAACAACTAGAATAAAGGTAGGGGCGACTGTCCCACTCTGGGCTTTTGGCATTCCTGAACACTTGACGCCACTTGTCATTGGATCCATGAAATCACCTCTGAGATTTATCTGGAGTTCCAGTGATCCAAATTTATTGAGCCTTCACAATGTTTATGAAAATACCGGAATTAATATCAGGTATCAAAATGAGGTAGCTATTCGTGCAAAAGCCTTGAAATCTGGATTGGTGGCTGTGTACTTGAATGTAACTGCACCGTCAAAAATATCAGGATACAAAACAGACACTACTTATTCTACATTTGTGAGAATTGACATCTTCGAAGAACTATCACTAGTGTTTCCTGAAAATGCAAATGGTACATCAGTATTGCTAATGGCCCCAAATTCTGTCATGCAACTACAAACAAATCGTGACAAACATGGCTTAACTACTTATAAAATCCTCTCGAGTAGATCTTCCAATGATTCGGACGATCCAAATGCTTTGATCGCTGCTGTTAGAAGTGTTACTATAGAAAAAAATGGACTTGTTAGGTCAGGAGATATCTTTGGAAAAACAGTCATTTCTGTTACGAACATTGAAGCTCATGGATTGAAACAAACCTTGATACTTGTCATTGATGTAAGTACCAAATGTGCCTGAGAATATTAATAACTGAAATTAATTATTTATTTTATTTAAAATAACGTTTTGAAGGTTTAGTATATATTTTGAATGGAAGAAGAAATTATGGCTAAGTGTTATTAAAAAGTTTTGTTACAGGTTAAGCCAATTCATTATGTGATGCTTTCGTTACAATCAAATCTACGGATACGTAGTGGTGAAGAACTCAATATGCTTCCTAAGGGTATGGAATTGAATTACATACTTGAGTATTATGATGCTGTTGGAGCAAAATTTCATGGAGCCAATACGAATTTAAAAGTTTTGGGAAGCCGAACCGATTTGGTGTCATTCGCCACCATCCCAGAAAACATAATCACTGTCAAGTTCCTTGATAATGGCGAGTTGATAACTAAAGTGTACAATGAGAAGTATCCTAATGGAATGTTTGACTATGTGCGAATGTTAATTGGAGATGTTCTTTTTCCAACAAAGGTACGTTTCATTTCATTTTTATTATGTTGACAAGAAAACTGCATAACTATTCCGTTTATTACCACTTTAATAGTATTTTTAAAAATTCAATATTTTCAATTTTTTACAGACTACGTTAACAGTAGGAGACATTGTGTGTTTCTCCATGCCTTTGCTATCTTCGGACGGAGAGCCAGGACAATGGCAGTCATCAGCTCCAGAGATACTGAGCGTTGATTCTATTAATGGTATAGGTAGAGCACGTAATTCAGGACAAACTATAGTTAAGCATAGTCTGGCTACGCAGGTTCAAGGTGAAATAAAAGTTAATGTTCAAGCAATTTCTAAGGTAATTGTTATCCAGTATAAAAAGATTTATAATGATATAAATCATTACATGTTTAAAAAGAAAATTATTATATTTATTGCAGATATCAATTGTGCCATTAAGAACAAGTAGCTTTGCTGGTATGGAGACTTTCAGCATACCGCTTGTACTAAAAAGTAAGGATGAACGCATAAAAGAAAATAATGTATTGGCAAGAGGGCTTGGAGGATGTCGTACTTACTCTTCATTTATACTTACTTCATTCCCTTTCACATGTAATATCGAATTTGTTTCATCTTTCACGTTTGTCAATATAAAGGATATTTTCCTTGCAAGACCTCGATTCGATATTGTTACTGGTAAGTGTTCCTGTTATTAAATTGCAAACGTTCATATTTATTATAGTATATTATCGTTATTTTATGCCAAAGATCAATATAACACTTTGTTGATGGGGAATATATTTTTATAGGATTCTACTACTGTGATATTATCCCAGTTTGCACACCCAGTGTGGTATCTAGTACATTGGAAGCACGTATTAAGATAAATGCCCAAAGTCGTGATATCAACGGAGTACCAGTAGAAGTAACTTATTTACCACCAATTTATGTCAGCACCAAAGAAATTTTCTTTGTTTCATCGCCAGTTCAAACAGTTCCCAGTGCAACAATTGAGATACATGGATTACGTCCAGTTTTGGAACACGTTGTGGTCAGTTTTCATTTATCCTCAACTAAAGTAACACAAAATATAAATAAGTAATCCATTTTAAATTATGGTAGATCGATGCACCTGATGGAATCACTGTCAGCGAGCAACAATTTGCATCAAAAAATGTGCTGCAATACAAAGTACGGTTACTACAAAATCAAGAAGAATTACAAGGACAGAAAATTATAATATCAAACGACCTTACTAAACAAAATATTTCTGTATGTAATTTGTGCACGATACATGTGAAGGGTCATAATAATTTGTTACTAATTTTGAGTTAACGTTTTAGATCTTCATTCGAGTATCGAAGCATGACCATTTTGTCCAGGTGTTGGACGTTCACTGGCTGGATTATCTGTATTTCCATCGATATACCTTTGCAACATTTATTGTTCTAGTGGCCACCTACTTTTATAGTAAGTAACTTTTATTAACAAATATAATATTCTCATATCAACATTTGACGAGTGTGGTAGAACATCATATTTATTAACAATATTAAATTACAGTATGGAAGAACAAAATGTCAAATATTAACATGACGATTAAGAACAAAAGTATCTTTGGTATGTATGAAATTTCTGTTTGTGAGTTTTGTTAAGTATTATTTTACTTATGACTATTCTTCCACAGCTGAAAAATGTCCTCCGCCAATCAAGAAGACTCCATGTTGCCCTACTCCAGGCAATGTATCGTGTACTCCCAGTCCACATAGTCCAAGTACACCCTTTTCAGCGTTTGAGCCTGTGTATGGTGATCCACGTGGATTTTATACGCCGAATTCTCGGAGAAGTAGGGCTTTACATTATTTTTCGCCACCAACACGAACGTGTTAATGTTTTGACCATGTAAATGTTTTTTTTTTATAAAATTTCTTATTCTGTAAGATTATGACAAGTACCTCCTATGCTGCTCACAAAGGAATGGCATGACCTTGGCCTGTTGGCATTGGTCACACTATGAATTATTGCAAATAGTTAATTATACATTCATTACATATTACGAGTAGGACTTGACTGATTTAGATACCTACATGTGTAAGCATAACTAGCTAACTTTTACAAATTGCCAGAAATAACATTGAGCAAGTATGTACACTGTGAAAGGAGGAATGCACTGTATAAAGAACAACTTATTACTTGATGTAGTTTATAACTGGTAGCTAACATGTAACGAAAAAGAAACGTGTACAAAGAGTATTATAAATAATGTTTATTAAAAAGGTAAATATGTATAATGGAACAGTCACACATTTCTCAGTCGCACAAGAAAATATAATTTGTTTAAATGATGTTGAATGTAATCACTGCACAGTGTTACCAAGTTCCCTTTTATGATATTTTTCAATGCTTCTTAAAACTTTTTGAAAGCTTTTCATATTTCCGCTTACTAGAATACCACAGTGCAAATGGAATAGCTAACGAGGGCAATGTCATTACTGCGAATGCGAGCCAGTCAATCTGTAAAAGTAGAAAGAATTCATTATACTTTAACAAAACTTACTTTTATTAATGGACATATGAAAAGAAAAATCTTGAAAGAGTAAGGATCAAGTATCGACATATATATTTTTTTAATCTAAACGGAATACATCCAAAACTTTGTAACAATAAAATTTTAATCAAATAAAATATTTTTTCTTTTAATATATCATGAAACTGTACTTACCACATGTGAAGAAAATTTCTTATCATAATCTCGGAATGATACAATAAATCCTGAACCAGGTTCACTGCTTACAGCAACCTGTAACCTGGGGGCATCTTCTTTGTGACGATATAGTACTTCAGCCTCCGTGAAGTTATAGTACCCATATTTGCGAGGTCTCACAACGACAGTATGACTGACATTCGTATAAGGTGGGACACGGTCGATCCTTGCATTTAATTCACCACTCACATGAACAAAGTTATCAGGGTGGAATGAATTATCTGTAATTTCAACTTCTAGAGCAGCAATATTGCCTACATTGTGAACTGTGTACTGAAATCAGAAAAACCAAAACTGGACTTAATAGAAAATTGTAGCTAAGATTTCTCTTAAATAATTTTAAGGGAAATGAATATTAATTTAAAATAAACATTTAACTGGGTATTAACACGTTCTCTGCCGCGTGGGGTGTATACGCCCTACGGTCTATTTATGACAGCGTACTCATCATTTGTTTCAGCACTGAATGTGTTAATATAAATCCAGGAATATCTTACCTTAATGATAATGTCCATATTTTCAACAAGATACTTATTTAGTATTTGTTTCGATACCAGCAAGCGTGCTGCCTCCGTCGTCTCCTCGGCCCATGTTGTGGCCAGGATCGTGGCAATGATTGCAGAAAAGATGTAATACTTCATCCTAAAATGAAAATAAATAACTCCTTCAGTAATACTTCAAATATTCTACAATCACTTATAAATAAAAACGGATAGTTTGTTAAAATTCATTTCCCCTGTCATATGGAGCGTTAAGAAGCATGGAATTAACCCTGTCATTAGTTATATCTGCATATTCACGCTCAGGGATAGGAGCGTGCATACATTTTAATGTCGGAAAATTTAATGCGTTTGTTTTATTGATTTGTAAAAGTTTAATATATATATTTAATACAGAATGTTGGAAAAGAATCACATTTCTTACCTTCTCTCAGGTTGGTTAACCAATAACACCGGAGAAATGACTATTTCACTTCACAATGTATATACGAAAAGTGCCAACAGCGCCGCGACTTGCCACGTTACGAAGTTGTGGCTGTGACGTCAGAGCATTGTAGATCACGTGACTTCCTGTCATTCTCGAAGCTTGGGTTACGTTCGTAAAACGGCTCCTTCGATACGTTGTAACTAGTGCGACTTTGAACGACACCTTTTAAAAAAATTTTAAACATACTCTACAAGATTTAGATATCCGAATTTTAATTGTAGAAAGCAAATTACATCGTTACGTTATTTCATTTAATTTGATTAAGTGTATGTACAGTTTAATAAGTCTTTGAATAACGTTGTCAACTTCACATTCGCATCTATCTCTTTCGGTTTTAATTGAATGCGATGATCCTGCGGCGGTTTCGGTAATGGTGAATTTTTTGCGGCGAACGGCATGCAATGGAAGTAAGCATGATGCAATGCCTGAAGATAAAATGCAAATAATTATTTTAAATTGCTGAAAGGTATTTTATTTAAACAGAAAGTACTTCTTGTACCTCTCTCGCCGGGAGTCGCTTTGCGGAATTATATACAAGCAGTTGTTTTACAAGGTTAATTGCTTCTTGATGAGCATCTGGTACAATTTGTTCCCATAGAAGGCCTTTATGGTATGGAAATGTGATCTTATTATAGTCAGGTAAAGTGCTCAATTCAGGCCACGATTCAGGTGTCGGAGATCCAAGGTGCCTTAGTACTATCGCTAATTGCTCAATATCTGTTTCTCCCTGATGTGGTTAAATAGATAATAGGAATAAGGAAATTAAAATTAAAGTTTCATGATATCATTTCAAGGATGGTCACTACTTACCGGAAATAATGGTGAATTATTTAACATTTCTCCGAATATGCAGCCAACAGACCACATATCAATAGCTGATGTATAAAAACGTGCTCCATATAATAATTCAGGTGCTCGATACCATCTCGTAGCAACTTGATGAGAGTACGGATGTGTATTATCTTCCCACATTAATCTTCCCAGTCCAAAGTCAGCTATTTTTAAAATACCTTCACTGTTTACCAATAAATTTGCAGGTTTCAAATCCTACAGAAAGGATTTTTAGTTATAACAATTCAAAACTTCATTAGCATTAATAATAATATATTCCTACTCTATGCATTATTTTATTTGCGTGCATATATGCAACACCCTCTAAAAGCATCTTTGTATAGCACTTTACTTGCAGTGCAGTTAAAGATCTCTCGTTATCTTTTAACATTTCCCACAAGCCTGATGGCATGTATTCGAAGACCATTACAAAGTCTATTCCTGTTGGAAATGCATCCAATAATTCTGCAATCTAATGTATTAAAGAACTATTAGTTTATGGTTATTTGAAGACTGTAAATATTTGACAACGTAGTATAAAGAATTAGCAAAATGCCTTACATATGGATGCTTCAATTGTTGTAATGTTTTAACTTCACGTATAATCGACGTCGGAATGCCATCATCGATCCTCTTTAGTAAAACCTTTTTTAACGCGACTTCGTGTCCTTTAGTATTGTGATAAGCTTTTAAAACTAAGCCATGTGCTCCTTCTCCAATTCTTCCCGTAATGGTATAATTCTCCATGACTATTCTTTTCTCCTTCTACTTATAAAGAATTCATTGTACTTAATCAGTAAAGGAGCCATTAAATCTAACAAATACACAGATTCCATTATTAACAAATAACATAGTAAGACCTTAATATTTCCTGAAATAATTTGAAAGTAGAAATACCTAAAATTATTTAAATTGTATAATTTTCATGTATTAGACAATTTTACAGTCACCTACTTTTAACTAACGAAATACTTCATCATCCAATTGTTCATTTTTATCACATCTCTTGATCTTTTATTTTCTCTGTTCTTACTCGTATGCTTTGTACTTTTGTATTCTTCTACAATACAATATCGATCCATTTTCGTAAACTAAACAGAATCCTTTTTTAAACGTATGTATGCATACAAACAAAATCACCGCATAGGTTAATTCATTATTCCGCTGACAACTAGCGATCTACAAGTTTATAACCAATGGGTTTCAGCCTAGTTCTAAAAAGTCCACTATATACCTCTGTAGATGTAGAGAAGATGAGGGTAGCCACGTCCCCTACTTCGTAACTATTATCAGAGATGAGTGGCTCTACCTAGCTCTACCACACCTGACTGGACTGAACGTTTATGGACGTATGGCGTCTTTGATGCTTCAACTACTCAGAGGGCAGCACCGCTCAATAGTTAGGAAGTAGGGGCCGTCGCTACTCTCATCTTCTCTCTACGTGACGAATCTGATCTGACAACCCTGTGAAGGCGTATTCTGTCCAATTCTGTCTGACGTTACTGTGCGATATAACTGTGAAGTGTAGGTATTGTCAATTTTCTTATTCCTGTTACAGATCAATTCAAATTTAAATCCTAGATTGATTGCCCAAGTTTGCTATGGCAGTAGATGGCGGTGATACATTAAAAGACTTAAGTAAGGATAAATGCGTAAACCCTCGTGCCCAATTTTACAAGAAACCCATAAGAAAGGATAACTACAATTTGGATGTCGATAACATTGATTCTCCACAAGAGATCAGAAGACAGCAACTCCTTCAGCATCAAAAAAAGTAAATAATCTATTGTTTTTGTCTTTCGTACAGAAACAATGATCGATTGCATCGATTTTTTGATGCATCGTTAATCACAATGTTTAGAAGTTAATTGCCTCTATAATTCTTTGATATTTAAAACATTACATAAATTAATAGTTTCTCTTAATTATAAGGAGCCGAGATGCTGCTTTTAATATTGGGCGAGGCCTCGTGGAAGAAGCCTTCAACTCAGAAGATGAAAATGACAATGAAATGGAAGTGGATAGACACAAGGAATATAAAGTCAAGAAGTACAAAAATTATGGAAATAGGTTGATGTTATCCGAGTGGATGTTGGAAGTGCCTCAAGATTTTTTAGAAAAATGGACAATGGTGCCTTGCCCAATAGGGCAGAGGACGCAAATAATAGCTTGCAAAGTACACATCTTATCATTTTCATTCTTTACCATTTTCACCATGAATTCTTGATTCAGACACCGAATTAATTTCCATAAAATAGTTTTAACCTGACCTTATTCATTGTTTATATAATGTAGGGGTCGACAAAAGCATTTAACAGACGTGGTCTACGACTTGGAAAATTTAGCTCAGCCCTGCCAGGTGGAAATTCTGAAAATCAGAGAAATAGTTGTACCATATTGGATTGCATCTGGGTGAAAGAACTGAAAACATATTATGCACTAGACATTTTGGCATGGTCGAACCAGACATTCTTGAACTGTGAAGTAAAGTATTAAGGGTTTTTCTTCTAACCTGACAAGATTTGCTCTACACCATTTGCAGATCTTTTATTTATTTTTATTGTTTCAATTAAATGTTTCTTTCATATTTATATCGTGTAATAGTTGATGATACTATTTACTCACTACTGTCTACAGATTGTGAGGCACTATAATTTACTTCTGTATCAGACAATTTCTTTTTTACAGGCGGAATTCAGGCTTTTTTGGCTGAATGCACAGCTGCAAGATATAAAAGTGTTGAAGGAGAGAGAATACCGTGTAAATAGTTTTCCAATTTTGCCTTTACCACAAATACCTTGTGATCAAAATCTCTCTGAGCTTTTAAATACTATACATGACTTACCGACTTTGGATGGATTACTATTTTATCACCGAGAAGGATTATACACCTGTGGACGTTCACCTCTTGTGACTTGGCTAAAAAGTTTTATGCTACCAGAAGTGTTGGGTATTCGAGTACCTCCTCCATTTGATGAAAAACCCGATGGATATATTGATTTTAAACATTACATTCAATCTAGTACTGCGAAAAGAAAAAAAGGGAAATTAACGGAGAGTAAAGTAAGTTCCATCCGTAAATTACTTTAAGAAACGGTAAAACAAGTTTTGGAGATATGATTTACGTATATTTTATTTATTGCAGATGGAGGTTGTAGAAGTGAATGCGTAATGAATTAGCAAATGCAATATTATGTATTCAATTGATGATATTGAAATGTTTCAATTGAAATCCCATTTCACACAATGACGCATAATAATATAATTTAAATAAAACGCAAGTTACGTTCGAACAGACATGAAGGTATTTATTTTATGTATTACATAGTACATAGTTACATTGATCACTGAAAAGTTGAATAAACTATGTAAACGCAGAAAACGTTACACTTGTTAAATTTTTCTTTATCGATAAGTATCAAAATTAATTTTGACAAAGCTTTATTAATAAATAGGAAAAAACCTTTGGCCTTAAAGTTGTTAATAGTTTATCCCGTGTTTCGATTAGCAGAGACCGATGGAAAATGTTCGGTACATAACGGCATTTTACAATCAATTACAGGTCGTGCAAAAATGTGTGACCCAGGTATGAAGATTCAAAATAAGGTCGATATTCCATAAGCGTTACAGCGATAAGCGACAGAGCGACGAAACGCGAATAAGAGGTTTTGATTGATTGTCAGAATATAAGGTGGAAATTTGTCCATTTCGCTCTTTCTCTGAAACCAATCAGAATCTCTTATTCGCACTTCGTCGCTTATTGCCATAGTGCTAATGAAATATCAGCCGAAATATGTAACTGCAGAAACTTAAAATACAAAACTCGTGACGTAAGTACCTAGCGATTTACTGTAAGAAAAACTACGTAAATTACCAAGGGTATTTTACTTACCTAACCTTATCTGCTACTCTCTGGTTAAATTTACCTTTTTCCATGCGAGTTGCCATCTTTGGTTGAATGTAGTCTATGGTTCGAAGATCGATGCCACGACGATGGTGAATATCGGCGTGTTTATAGCTTCTCCCGCGCAAAAATATTAAAATCCTTTGTACACAAAAGTCACTGTCAAGAAGACGGGAAGCAAATACTGGTTTCTCGGTAACTGTACGCCAGTCGGGGAACAGCAATGGCTACGATAGAGGTGACGTTCCCTTCTGAAGGCCAGCAAGCGAGAATTATTAAGTGGCGAGTAGGAAAAGGTACGATGGTATCTGCGGGGCGGGTGTTGCTTTTATACGATTGCATTGCGTCGGAAAACGACGATGTCAGAGGTCCAGAGAAGAAGCTCCGGGCTACGCAATTTGGCCGAGTTACCAAGCTTTTAGCCAAAGAGGGCGACATTTTACAACCGGGGTAAATTTACATCTTAACCTCAAAATACATTCTATGTTTGATCCTATCGAATGTGTACATTTAAATTTCTCTTCACTACAATTGGGCTTTACTGTCCTTACAGGCAGGTCATATTAACTCTAGAAGGGTGTACACATCCTACAGTGATGAAAGACTTATGTGCAGAATGTGGTATAGACCTCAGAGAAGACAGCGGAGGAAAGGATGGTGAAAAGGGGATGATTTCTCAAGCAAGTGTTCCAATGGTTCATAGCATTCCTGAACTTAAAGTATGTCCCGAATTGGCTGAAAAAATTGGCAAACAAGACGAGGAAAGGCTATTGCAAGACAGAAAATTGGCACTGTTGGTAGATCTTGACCAGACGATTGTTCATACGACTAATGATAATATCCCCCCAAATATGAAGGTTATTAGCTAGGTATTAGATACATTTATATTGTGGAACTTTTGTTTATGAAAGGAATGCAAATTTTTTTTGCAGGATGTATACCATTACCAATTGTATGGTCCAAATTCCCCATGGTACCATACGCGTCTTAGGCCGAATACTCATCATTTTCTTTCTAAGATGAGCCACCTCTATGAACTGCACATTTGTACATTTGGAGCACGAAATTATGCGCATATGGTAGCTTCGTTACTGGATAGGGATGGCGTTTTATTTTCCCACAGAATACTTTCTCGAGATGAATGCTTTGACCCAGCATCCAAAACTGCTAATCTTAAGTAAGTTTTCTTAGCGAAGAGATCTCGATACGAGTATTTTTAAATACCGAAATTTTTATATTATGTTGTTATAAACAGAGCATTATTTCCTTGTGGAGATGACATGGTGTGTATCATAGACGACCGTGAAGATGTTTGGCAAGGTTGTGGAAATTTGGTCCAAGTTAAACCGTATCACTTTTTCCGACATACTGGGGATATTCATGCACCTCCAGGATTGGGAAAATATGACCCACCTACATCACCGTCATTGGATTCACAGTACACTGAAAAAGATTATGAATCGAAAAATCCTGAAAATGGTGTACTGGAAGAAAGTAATGATGAAACTAACAAGGAAGATAAAGGTACAAATGATGGAAAAAAAGATTTAGAGAATAAAAATGAAGATGGCAGTGGAGATAAAGAAATGCCTAAAGGGAATATATCAGAGAAGGAATCTGATAAAAATGTTGCATTGAAATTGGAGAAAGATGAAACATTAGGCACTAAGAATGAAGAAACAGAAACAGAAAGAGAGAAAGATGAAACGCTAGAAACAAATAAAGATAGCATACCAGAAGTAAAAAAAGATGTAGCAGATACTGAAAGTTCAAAAGAGAATGAAACCGAAATAGGGGAAAAGAAAGAGGATGATACAAAACCAAAATTTATAGAACATGAAGATCAAGACGATTATTTATTATACTTGGAAGACATTCTTCGCAGGATACATAATGAATTTTATCACTGTTTAGATGCGGGGTCAAGGAAACCTCTTAGAGATATTATACCACGCGTGCGAGGACAGGTGCTGAAAGGATTACACCTTACTTTCAGTGGACTAATACCTACACATCAAAAACTTGAACAGAACCGTGCTTATAAAGTAGCTAGAGCACTTGGGGCTGAAGTAAATGATGTAAGTGGAAATACAAGTCCAAAAGAAAACCGACATTACTACTTGCAGAAAAATGCATAAGTTTGTAATAACTTTATCGTCTTAGGATTTAGTGGAAGGAACTACGCATTTAGTAGCAATTAGACCAGGAACCGCGAAGGTAAATTCAGCCAAGAGAAATGGGAAAATAAAAATCGTGAACCCTGATTGGCTTTGGACATGTGCCGAACGTTGGGAACGAGTTGATGAACGGTTATTTCCGCTGAATACCAAGGTAACACATGGGCAAATATATTGAAGGAGTAGATATATTATTAGCCATATGTTGTATCTTAGATAAATTGTGGGCGTTTCAGTATATACTTGACCAACTAATGATAGTTCTATTGGTTTAAATTGAATTAAAGAAATCAAAAGTTAGGATATATATGATATGCAAGTATTAACACAGGCACCTGGATCCAGGATACCACCGCCACACTGCAGCAATCCAAAGCGTGCAGACGAAGAGAGCAAGAAAAGGTGCGACAGCTTTGCAGATAGTATCAATCCTTTAATGTCTTTTACTCAAGAAGAAATTGCTAATATGGATAAAGAAGTAGAAGAAGACATGAGTGACCAAGAAATGATGGATCCAGATCTGGAGACAGAAGACACGGAAATAGAAGGTTTAAGTTATAAGCGAGATCATTCTAGTAGTTCTGATTCACTCGATTCCAATGGTAAACCACTTTTTTTCGAAAATCAATTTTTTCAATGTTTCTTTCAGCAGTTATGAGAAATTGCTGGCATTTAATCACTTGCATTATATATATATTCATATTTCAGACTCCCAAGGAGAGATAAGCCCCACGAAAAAAAGAAGAACAGGGGATGACAGTTCAATAGACGACAGTTCATCTTCACAAGGACATATAAGGGATGTTGATGATTTAGATGATGATGATGACGATCCTGCAACACGCTTTAGAAGAGGAGAGGATTTGCCCGATGACCTCGATCTTGGTGATAATTCACAAGATTCTGTGGATGTTGATGTGTTAGATAACGATGATAATGAAGATGACCGAGAATGGAATGCCATGGGAGCAGCTCTCGAAAGAGAATTTCTGTCGGATTGATCGAACTACTTGTATTTTTTTTTTTTTTAATTATATTAGACCACGCGTCTCAAATAATTTATAGATTTAGAACTCGGCGACTGATTTTAGATACGTCAAATCAACTTGAACAATATATTTATACAATTTCGATTAAATGCAGAGTAAAATGCTACATTGAAATGAAATATTTCCGAGAAGAGAAATCACTTCTCCGCTGTGGATACAATTTGTATAAATACACCAAATTTTTCAATTAAATGGCTTACATTTATGTGGAAATACTGAATACTGGATCTTTATATAGAAACCAATTTTTAATTTACTCAATTTTAATGAATTTCTACAATTCTTTTAAAGGATGTCTTAAATTGCATAAGGTTGCGGATCATTAGGATCTTCATGATACTTAACGTAGGATTCCTGATGCGTGAAGTCCCTCTTATCCTCTAGATGGCCTCGTGGAGGTGCTTTTTCATAATCAAAAGCAGTGGGGTTTTCTCCATGCAGGTCTCTATATTTTTTTATGCTGTCTCTGTTAGATAAAAAAACAATTTATCCATAAGTAACGAAACCATTGGTTGTTTGAGCTTTATGCAAAACTTCATATTTTCCTTTGAAGTTAATAAATATCGTACGTACCTATCAAATTGGCGAACTACTTTCTTATTAGTAATAGGGTCTGTAACGTCACCCAATGGGTAAACAACCTCTACTACCTAAAAGTCATTACCGATTACCATATTTAAAAAAAGATAATTTCAAAGCAATCAGTACACAGTATTTTTTACAGAAACCCAGGTACATCAAATTGTATCTAGGACTTATAATTATTATGACAATACCTTATGAGTGATCAAACGTGTCAATTTCTGCGGCAGAGATTGTATCAGCACTGTATCTCCGGTTTTACACAGTCTTAACGGATCATGAGCATAAACGAACTCGTCCTTATCAAAATACTGCAACAGCAAACCAAATCATAACCTCAAGCCAACGTTTAATCAAAATCGCGGGAACTAAGAAAGGACAGTACCATCAAAAGATTCTGATCCAGTTCCGATTGTCGGATGCGTATTTTAACCGCATCTGGTTTTCCACAGGGCATGCATTGCCCCAAAGAAAATCGTAGAACTTGTCTCCCTTTCGCAGCTATTTCAGCCGCCGCACGCGCCGCCATGTTCGCGCCTAACCTTACTTTCCTTCCAGGGTCCAGTCGACCAGTCGCGGTACGCTATCGATAATTCAGAATCGAAACTCGAAGTTACCGGACTCTCGAAAGTGGACAATACCCGTACGAATTTGAAAAAGAAACTTGGAACGCATCGCACAGGCAGTTTGAAGTCTAACAGTTGCTAAGGAAGAAGGGAAAGTAGGATCAGTTCAGCTAATGAAAAACTACGGAGGTGGAATAATTCACGCAAAAGGAAGGATATCGAGATTGACAGTCATCTGGTACATAATGCTCCATTATTTTTCCACGATTCAACGTACTAAAATACGTCCTTCGGAGTAGTAAGTGGAAGCGCCACCTGTGTATTCATTCATTAGGTAAGAGAAGTTAATTCCGTAAGCGATTTACAATTGAAGTATTTTTTCAGTCTGAATAGCAAACGGCTTCGCCCAGTCTGATGCTTGGTAGCGGCATCACCACTCGGCCGTCCTCTGGAGTACGTAGATGGTCGCGAAGCCCTAATAATAATTAATCTCCAACTACTAGAGGCATAACTCTAGTTTTCGATAATGGCGCGCTCAATTACGCGCTTCCTTAATTAATAACATCGCAGATACCGCGGCGAATGTACGGAGGGGTAAAGGGGCGCGTGCATCGATTATACAGAGCTTAGCACCGCCGTGCCGCTGACGCTCCCGCGTTTACGACGCACTCCGTGATCTACTTCATGGGTCGACTTTATTGCACTCTATCGCTCACATTTTATTTTTATTTCAGCCAAACCGGCGAGGCATTATTCACGCGAGACGAGCCCGAATGAAGTCTTGGAGTGCCGGTAGATTATTTAGCGGAATATTTACAGGGGGAAGAATTTAGCCTCGTTAGCGACTCCCCGGTCACTGGATGGATGGTCGGCTGTATAATGAAACGCAATTTTCTCGAAATAGGCGCCATTAATAGGCTGTCCGAAAGAGTGGGGAACTGCCTCGGATTGTCCATTTAAATTACTGATATCTTTAAACGCGTTAACGAAAGCTCCGCTCTAAAATAAACTCTGCTCCGACATTGTTGCAGCTCTGCACAATGAGCCTGAATAATGGGGAAATCTTGCGACAGGCTGGAAAGCGTAGAAGGTACGTTTACCTTGGTAATGTTCCTGGTATTTAAGAAATTATTCCGAGAGGAATTTTTACTTTGAAGTACCATCTAAAGTTATTCCTTCTCGTGTCGCAGAAGTTCCTGACTTACGGGTATGCCAGAGTTGCTGGGAAATATCGATTTTCAATCGCTTATCCGTGCCGCTGATGCCGCACCGCTCTTCATAGAACGGATATACCTCGTCACCAAATTCTTCGTGACATCTGAATTAACGAAATGGGAGTGCCCCGAATAACGAGTCGGAGAGGACGGACACCTGACGTATATTCCGCGGAAAAAAAAAAGAAGCCCCTGATTATTTGAAAGTGAGCTGTGAAGCAAGGGTTATTTCAGGAGCCCCATCATTGGTTTGTCTTCGCGAGAAACATCTTCCATCAACATTCGCCGGAGATTAAGCACTTAATTGTCGGGAGGGAAAACGTTAATCGTCAATGGGAGTTGTAACCAGGAAGAACGAGTAGTTCTTACTCCTTTCCATTCTGGAAATAAACATTGACTTATTATGGCAGAGTTGGAAAATTGAAGAGAATCGCGCGAGGACCAAGTGGCCCGAAAGTGTTCCACAATTGAGATGGCTGTCTACAGTTTGCTGCAACTCCGAAAGATATCCCACAATTAATCATGTGAGGTCTCTTTGTCCCTCTATCGGCGTTGCCCTAAACGGCAATATATTACCTTCGACCTCCCTGCCTTCCGGCCAAGTAACCTTTGACTATATCCGTTCTTCGGCGATCGCTCCCAAAGGTCGGCGATATTGAATTTTCGGCCAGTCTGGCCGGTCAATCGGGAGGAGAAGGTTGATCCACGATTACGCGGAAATTCACGTGAGCCTGGTAAGTGGATACATTTCAGCAGTACGGAGATAGAGGTGGAGTCGGACATTTAGGAAATAATCGTGCCTTCTTTTGATCGATAGGGCATGTACTCAGGCTCGGGGAATGAACGGACGCAGGGGTGCGGAATCCAATGTTTCGCTCCGGGGTGTTCTGACCAAAGGGATCGTTGGAACCATTCCCACGGAGCAGCGGCAGCCCCTCGAAAAATGCACGAAAATCTCGGGGTACATGGCATTATATAAAAATGTATATATAATATGCAATCAGAACGTGGCTCGGGGCTATGGACGATTGGAAAGGAGAAATGCACGTAGACGTCGCGGAGGAATCCGGGACCGAAGGGAGCCATGCTCCGGGCTGATGCTTCGAGGATCAAAGCCCGTATTCCGAAATATATTACTTTTATCTTCTGGGCCGCAACGTCTGTATCTTAGCCGATACTCAAACCCCAAGAGAAGTCCTCAGGAGCGGCCGTTGTTATTGCGGGATGTAAAGGACCGAAGGAATTTGCGGATGATTGCTCGCAGCCCCTCCTGCCCCGCGAAATACTTTTCCAGGTCTGTCGCCAGTCAGCCAAGAAATTCCATTGTTGTCGGAATCGGGAGATCCGCTGCAGGCCACCGGGATCGGCGTAGTCCCCTCTTTTGTCTGCGGATGCAATCGTTAAAAATAATGCAAATAATGAGCCTTCCCGTCGAGATTCCTCTCCAGGGACCGTCGACGAGTCGTTTCCGTACCCGTCGACGATTGCACGGTTTTACCGATCAACCGCTGCGGAACGAACGCGAGTGCGGCCGCAAAGCGAATGTCCAGGGTAAGCGGACAATTAATCCCTAATGAACGGCTGTCGAATGCTTAATGACGGTCCACTGTTCGGTGGGTATTTTGGCCCATGCGAAGCACTTTGGGTATTTTTAATTATTACCGATTGACGTTTCTTCCGCTAACGCGCAGCGATGGACTCTGGGCTCACTCAGGAGTCATTTATCCGCGGATTAATGGCTCGGGGTGTATTAATAATGAGTGCTGATACTGTTTGCGTAACGGGGTCACCCTACAGTTTAACGAGCGCATTCACGCACTCCCGTATGCATTGCTCAAGATCGGCTAGAATGATTTTCATCCCCGTAGTTTATTGATCGACGGGGGTTGAGTGCGAAAGGGTACGGCGCTGTAAAAGCAGTCAGGCGCCGGCGAGGGCGAGGGTCCGTGTATATATCCGATATTTACACGTGTAATCGTTCTCTGATTTATAGGGGATGGAGAGTAGTTGGGACCCTTGGCACCCTGGCCTCCACGTCCCCTTCCACGGCACGCGAGGAGGGATGACACGGGATGTTGATTTTCCTATCGGACACCGAAGAGGACGAGTTTTGTCAACCTATCCTGACGGTGAGTCCTCTTCCCTTGAAATTTATTGTCTCCCCGAATTTCGCTGACCTTTGCGAACTCCGTGAACGAGATTTCATACCTGCCGTTTAACCAGGTCCTGCATGGAACGCAGGTCGGCTAATTGCAGCACTGCTGGAGGACATTGATTCCTGAAAGAGTTATCGGATTGTCGTCAGGGTGAGCGGATGGAAACTCATTTTCCCGTATGATCCTGCTTCCGGATTGCGGCTGGAAACGAAGTAATCGCGTTCTAAACCCGAACGGAGTCACTTAACGAGTACAGCGAGTGTACTTGCTCGCGTTAGAGGCGAACTCCGGGAAGTCCCTGCCGGTTGCTCGAGTGCATCCGGATATGCTTCGCGACGAGAACCGTAACTCTTCCCAGGCTCTCGATTCCCGAGATAGGGAGAAATTGCCGGAGCGGGGGAAACGGGGAACTTGGAGGAAATTGCTGTTTACTGGGTGTGCTCAACTCCGGGGACAAAGTGAAATTCTCGGAAGTATTGCCCCGCGTAAATTTGGAACCAATATCGCGAGAGGAACTCGAATAAGGTGTCGCGCGGACTGGAGAGACGCACTGATAAGAGTCGATATCAGAGAACAGATTGTATCGACTGTGAGCTCGGGGAGGAATTCTCGGCCGAGGTAGCTTGCGGTAGTGGGAACGTTCTCGAGGACCTCGAGAGATCTTTTGAGGGCGATGGAAATATTTAACTATCGGCTGTGATCGCGTACGTAAGCAGGAGAAACGCAAGACTTGGATCCCGGGAAAACGTCGATCGATAGGCCGCAAGTCTTGCACTTCTTGCAGTAATGCACGTAATTTATCGACCACTTAGCGTCAGAAGTTTTGCGCCCTCAATTTTCTTAGGTATTGCTCCCGTAACGTGGGTTGTGAGCCAATAATACCCGGTCACTTCAAACTGAGTTAAGGCCGCCATTTTTTATCTCGGTGGCATATCACCTAGAGCCTGGTAACTATTCATGATCACCCGACGCGGAAAAATCGCGTGGGCAGATTTTTTTCATTTTTAACGGCTGTTTAACCATAAAGCTTTATGATACGAGAGATCGGTCGGAACAAAGGGGATCTCACTGTTGATGTGCACGCGGTCCATGGCGAGAAGGTGCCGATAGGGCCAGCCTCCAGCTCCGGACCTCGTTCCAGATTAGGATCGGCCGTAGACATTTTTCACGCGTCTCGTGTTCCTCTGGAGGACAACTACTAAAGATCTCGCCGAGATAGAATCCGAGGTGTCCTCCGGAACGATTTCGAGTCCGTTTACCTCTGAAATACTATAAAGGAAAGAAGACCCCATAGAAATGTCCGCTCTTTGCGAGGAGTCGAGATGGAATCAAGCGCTGTCGCGTATGGAGACCCCTGGCATGAATCACGGCGAAGTCGTTCTCGTTGCTCGCGACACGTGCATACTAATTGTCCAATACATCCAGCAGCGTTAATAGTTCCTTTGAACCGCGTCTCGGAACGAGTCGATCGTTTCTCGACTCTTAGTCCCGGCGCTTGTCCCACCATGCGCGTCGACATGTTAATAATGTTGTAACACCAGCCGTAAAGCTTAACGGCGGAGTCACCGTAAAATCCTAAAACAGGGGCCAACCATAAATCGGGCGTAGGTACCCGCTGTTTCAGCCAA